CAAGTCGGTTTACATTAAAAAAAAACTGGATATTTAGTTGTTTGTAGAGCATGTTACCAACTTTTTATCAAAATAATTGCAACCTTTGTGTTAAGATAATTGCAACTATAATTGTGATTTTGATTGAATTGCAATTTAATTTTGCAGCTCTAATATTGAGCCATTGTAGTTAAAGCACCCACATAACGCAAAAGTAAATCCTGTGAGCAGCTACCTTTTACCTTTTGCTCAGCTAACACTGGAAATTCCGTTGCTGAAATTATCGAAATGCTTTTATTGAAGATGTATGGAGTTTAATAACACAGTGGAGCTGCACTTTCTCTATTACAACATTACATCACAAGGGGGAACAGAATGTTTTATGCAGGTTTTGTGTGCTAAACATGTGTAAATGAAACAAAACAAAACTCCAGGTTTGTTTGTGATGAGGAAACACCATTATATCATAGATCAGAAAATTATGGACCTGTTAACAACACAATCTTACGGTCTTTGTTTTGCATCCTGAGCTTTCTTTCTCTAGTCATAAAGGAGGGTGTAAACATAGAGATGACTTTACTCTGCTACCCAGCAAATATATAAATTTTACTTGTGAGGCATGTTTGATCATAAAAGACATTGCGAGATTTCTGACTTCAAAGCTGAGCAGACAAACAGGTGGTGGGTGTGTGCTCATTCGTACTACCAAAGACCAAACCTAAACCCAGTGTCGTTGTTGTTCATCATGGGTGATGAGTGTGATAGTAAACACTTTTACACACACAGTACAATCTGCCGAGAGCACTGACTGGAAAGCGAGACTAGATTAGCAATTCAACCGTGTCAAGCCAAAACTGAGAGGAAACAAGCTGCTAACAAGCTGTAGTGATTTCAGGCGTCCGTGAATGTGTGCTGTATTGTGTATCGTATTTGAGCTCTAGTCCTGACTGGAAAAAGTGAAGGCCAGGTAGGAAAGCATCAGGTCAAACCAAGGTTACGTCTTCATTCACCAAGTCAAAGTCAAACCTTCGTTTCACTTATACCAGCCAACTTAAAGGTGCATTGTGTAACTTTTATGGTGTAGGTTCTGTCACCTGCTTGTTTCTATGGATATGTCATTGCTTTGCTTGGAGTGCTCAAAAATATGACAGTAAACAGCTCTGCCTTACATTCAATCACAGATGGTTTTATAGCTCAAAAATACCTAGAAAAAACAAGCATTCTGACTGTGAGCGGGGTCGCCTCTACGCAGACCTGACCTGCAATTTGATTTGGTTTGGTTGTCATGAAAATAGTAAGGTTTATACTGTACTATGAAACAGTCCACACAATGCAATAACATCTCCATGGAGACAAGCATTTGACAGACCCTCCACCAGAAAAGTTATGCAATGCACCTTGATTTCACAAACTAATTCTTTCTTACACTCATGTCATAATAACCATGCTATTCTTATTTCATGGCATGTGAAGGACAAGATGGCTCTAAATGCAGTGAAAAATGGAAGTTTAGTCCAGCCTATGCAGGACTCCCATTGGGATGAACAGGTGTCCTAGAAAGGCGAAGGGAAGTACAGCGATCCAATCTCAAAATGTTCCACCCATACTGTTGTCTACTCTGCCCTTGAGCCAAGTCGCTCCCCATAAAGATATGACTTAGATAGGACTTTTTCATAGTAATTTCCACATAGTAACATAGCTGTGTTGATCTATAAACTCTGCTTTATTTCCTGTATGATTTTTATGTTTTTGATTTTTCTTTTCTTTTTTTTTTCTTTTTTTTTTTTGCATGTGGACAATGAAAGGCCAAGGTCGCAGCCACAACGACCTTGTAAGCCATAATACAGTTTTATGTGTGGAGTGATAAAACAGAGGCGTAGTAATCTTTTATTTCAGAAAGGTCAAAGGTTAATTTTCTTGTAAGCTGCTAATGTTGTGGTTATTACTCGGGAAGTTATGTTCTTGTTAAATCCAAGGCCCTGTATCCAATTTTACCCCATGTATTTGAGCAAAATGTACCTTGTCCCAGTACAGATATATGCTACAGATGTATTGTATAAGCAGCTCTTGAGGTCAAAGTCAGGTCTGCTTCCTGCTGCTTCATTTAATACAGTGTTTTATTGTCCAATGATCAGGAAATGCACTTTAGCATACTAGTTGTTGTTAGCTTTGTGACAGGAAAACTCTGCTCTAGTCTCTGAAAGTTCTGAGAAGTGTTTATACGGTTAGTGTAGTGAATAATTAGGATATGCATGAAGTGAGTGAGGAATAACTTTGGACCACTGCAAACCATTTAAAGTTAAGTTTTGTTTTTCACGTTTTTAGATGGTAATAATCAGGTACAGCGCCTTTAAGTAAGAGTGTAAAATGCACAGGTTTAGAATACCCCAGGTGGAGTTAGAAGACTGAACACTGTGTAGACCTATTTGTAAACGCTCTTTATTGAAGGACCTTTATTTAGAGCGATGCATTTTATGGCCCAGTGCTTTTCAGGTACCTATCCTTCCAGGGAGTGGAAATAGTCAGAGACACTTTATTCTTGTTGGTCCTTGCTCTCCATTTTCTTTGCTTAACCCGGCCGCTTTTATTCCTTAAATTGGCTTGAGGGCACTAAAGCGACGTGCTGTAGTTTTGTAAGTGACCCATATTTCCCATCAGCGCATTGGCTTTCTGTTGAGCCAGTGTAAATTATGTCCATCAAAGACGCTATCAAAATGAGTAAGCCCTTAAGCCCCGTACACACTGTTGCTGTTTAGCCGTGTGTGTGCAAGCGAAGGCCCTGAATTTTAATACTTTTTGTCTCAATAGTATTTTCCTCTGACTTTGTACCTTCAACTCTACTTCTACATGTCTGGAAGTACCCCCAAAACCTCGTGTCTCGGAGGGTTCCAGTGGCGTTTTGAATTTTTGCTTTCTCTTATCACACTTTGCCAGGGACTTGTCACCTTGCAGTAGCTCTTATAGGCAGTACATTTTGCTGAGAAATGGGTTAGGCATTTTTTTAATCCCCAGTGTAATTCGTATCTGAGACAACCGCAGGGCAAGGCCGACAGAGGCAGACTAATTCTACAGCTCTGCTCCTGCACTGATATTATTTACTCATCTTGTTATGTCATGCGTCCTATGGGAAATTACCTGTATTGTTTTCATTAAGGCAGTCTGGCTTTGAAATGACAACTATAAAAATGCAGTTACTTTTGCCACAGCAGTTTGGTTCATCAATAGTTGGAAAGTTTACTCTGAGTCTTATTCTGAGTTGCTCTATAAGCCTTAGAATGAAATGTAAAACTTTAATATTTCAGAATTAGTTGTGGGTTTTCTCATTTGGTCCAGTGGATTTGATAACATTTCAAATGAGAGTGAGATTCAGTCATTTCTAAATTGTCAGTGACTGATGCGCTTGGATCATTACAATCGAGAGGTCTACAGCCAAGTCTATAAACGTATGTGGTTTGAAGCAGATTTCCAACTTTGTTCACGAAATTAAAAAGCTATTTCACTGCTTCTAAGACAGACAGAATAAAATCAAATTGAAAATCATAACTCATCAGCATGAGGAAAAGAAATGTCATATCGCCCTAGTCCAGATTTAACCTCGTCTCTTTTTTATGGTTTTCTGACACTTTCCAAATCTCGATGATAGTTCTTGATCATCGAGTGCTTAGGTGGAGGAACAGCCTCTTTTGCATGCCGATGTAGGAAAGTCGAGCACCTGGAGTATAGTAAGTAAACTTCGGACATTTTAAGCACTAGCCACTCTGTCTTGTATCACTTCATTCATAATGTTGGCAAGTATCATAATGTTCTCATTCAATTTGCAATTGTCAACTTATAGTATTGTGTTTTATTCAGTGATGGAAGAATACTTTGCAAATGTATTTAATGCTGAATACCCAAAGTGAAATGTGTTAGTAATGTAATGTAATTAGGGACATAATAATAACCCAAATATCGTGATATCGTATCGTCGAAGTTCTCACAATAATGGACCGTGGACCATCACAATATATCAAATTGCAAGTCTTTTTGCTTAGATTAAGAGTTATGGTGCAGCAATAGCTAAAAAAAGACAGAGGGAACTACATAGACCATGATCCTTTGCTCCATTTCAGTGTACATTACAAGAAGAAATAACAGTTCTAAGCACTTTTAAGTCTTAGTTCTTTGGATAAAGTCTTGTCAAGGCATTTTAAGAGGAAAAAGTAGTAGTATATTAACAGTTTTGTTAGCCTTCACAAAATATCGCAATAAATATCGTTCCGTGAGATGTATATCCTGAAAATATCGTACCGAGAGATTTGGATATTGTTACATCCCTAATCGTGAGCCTCTCCACTATAGCTTGAGCTTTCCCAAGATATCGCAATAAATAGGTTCATACCGTGACGATATCGTATTGTGAGACTTGGATATCGTTACACTCCTAAATGTAATGTATGGTCCAATCAGAGTATTGTATTCTGAATACTTGGAATACTTTTAAACCGAGTTGCATTATATTTTTGTAATAATATAACTACATAGTATTACAACCTGCTTTATTTTTGTTGCTGTTTACTATTCATTAGAGAGGGAAAAAAACTGTACACGCACGCATTGCAAGAGCTGTATTTTCTTTTTTCTTACTAATTAAATGAATGAAAGAGTAACTGTACCAGAATAGAGTTACTCAAAATTAGTATTCAGTGTTTTCAGTACATGTATTCAATTACTTCCCAACATTGGTTATATTGTTATAACATATCACATTTTACACTGCTCTGTTTGAATACAATGATAGATATATTAGTTGGGGTCATAAAGAACAAAATATTCATTGTATCAGAGTGAATAGACACCAAGAGAACAATAGTGCGTTCTTACGGAGATTATTATTGCTTGAACTTGCCTCTCCATCACCAGTTCTGTCCACTCCTGCATATTTCATATCTATGAGACTTGAGCGGTGCCTTGGAGGTTTTGTGGGCTCCTGAGTGCTTGTGCTTTTTGATGTTTACGTAACTTTTGCATGTGTCTTTCAGTTGTCCGAAGCTCGAGACAAGACTCTGCAAGGCCTGGATCGAACTGTGGATTACAAAGAGCTCAGAGGCAAAGACCCCACTGCAGCTGAACTGGTGAAGAAGATGGAGCAGGTAAAACACACTGCGCATTGAGCTGCTTGTTATTCAGGACACTTATTTTTGGCATTTTAGTAGAAAACATTTTGTCCTAAAAGCTGTGATCCAAGACAGTAATGATTGCGTGTGCACGTGCAGCTGGAGGTGAGGCTAGCCGAGCGTGAGAGACAGTTCCTGGAAAAAGGACTCCTCGTGGAGCAAGTGAGCCGCCTTATAACGCCCCTGAGAGCGCGCATGGACAACTGCCGAGAGGACGGACTCACACTGGCTAAGAAGGTAATGTTATGTATTGGTTAGAAAGATAGATATTCAATAAGAAATTCAAGTTTAAACATGCACTGTGTAACTTTTCTTCTCTCCACGGAGCTGTTGTTGCTTTGCCTGGGATGTTCCACAGCAAAAGTTTAAAATGTTATAAATCCTGGCAACAAATACTGTAGCTTATGTTGTAATCTTTCAACCAAGGCTATTGATACTTTGCATTGACATCGCCTAGGGTTGTTCTACATGCAGCTGTATGAGGGAATGTTCGGCAGTTGCCATGGTGACACAATGCACACATTAGGAAATCTGTCAAAAAGTTTTAATATAGTCTGAAAACTCAAGAAAAACAGGAGCGTGTTTAAGTGTTTAGGTGTTAGGAGAAAACCTGTTGGAAAACCTTGCTAGCTTGTGACTGTAAATTTATGTGTGAGACACTTTTAATAGCACAAATCATCTGACATGTTGTAATTCCAATTAAAAATAAGATATAACATAATAATAGAGCTTCTGACAGAGCAGTGCCTCCAGTTAGCATCACAACCTCAGGGAATGTTAATGACATCAGCTGCAAAGCGTGAAGAATAATATTTCAGCATTTTGTAGGTAACATCACACATCACAGTCCTTTCACATTTGTCCAATACCTAAATCTCAGCTAATGCATTTAAGACCAGTTTTTGAATTCAGTTAGATTGTCAAAAAATGATTCTTCCAGCGTTATTGGGAGAATAGTAAAAAAAAGAGATACAGTTTTACAATATCACCCACCACTTTCTTACTAGGCAATGTGGATGAAGTGTCTTGCCTAAGGACACAATGTCAATTTTTGCCACTGGCGCCCCGCTGTGGCACTTGATTTTCCCAGTGGTCTTCCATCCAAGTCCTAACCAGGCCCGGCCTTGCTTTGCTTCTGAGATCTCACGAGCTCAGGCTTTGACAAGCTGGTATGGCCACATTATGTTTATTATGTGAATTATGATATGGCCTTCATCAGTTTGTCACAGGGATGAGTTGTACTTGTGGCCTGTGAGAGAGCGGGATTGAGGCCAAATAAAAGTAAAACAACAAATGACATTTTTGCTGCAACATTGTATAGTGGACTAGGCTGCAGCACAAATTCTTAAATACAATGTTATGCTGATGAATATGCACCAAAATATAACAGACCATGAACAAACTCTTAAATATTTAATTGTTATAAATATTGTTTTATTTCATCAAGCGCGACAAACCCTGCATACATTAGTGAACTTTAAAACTAGAGCTGGAAGTTTTGTAATTAAAGGTGCTTTGTGTAAATTTTCTAGTGGAGGGTCCGTCAAATGCTTTTCTCCACAGAGATGGTGTTGAACCTATCTTCATTTTTGGAATTATAAAACCACCTGTAATTGAAATAATGTAAGGTGGAGCTGTTTAATGTCATACTGTGGAACATTCCAGGCAGAGTAATGACACATCCATAGAAACAAGCAGGTGACAGACTCCCAACCACAAAGTTACATACTGCATCTTTAATCCTTGGCAAATGTATCAAACACATAAATAACAGCCACTTTTCTTTCACTGTCTTATTGAAATGAATGGGACAGAATGTTAATATCCAAGCTGTGTGCGCAGCAATTCCAAACACGTCACTCCTGAAGGGTCTATTAGCTTTCTGACATTTGTTCATTCTCGATCTTCTTTTCTTTTTATTTTATTCTTTTGCAAAGTCAAAGTCAAAATCTGTAGCAGCAGCTTTTGAGCTCCATGTGAGAAGCCCTGCAGAGCGGGCATTAAGGAGTTCACTGAGCATTACAAATTACAAGAATTTGCACTTATCTTTTACTTGGACTATAAATAGCTTCAAACATGGCACATGTAACTTCCTGCAGAAACGTGAGTGTGGCAGTGAGCAGCTCTACAGGTACAGGTGGTTAGCCACCTGTTCTATTGTTAAAGCTGCACTGTGTAACTTTTGGTTGGGGTTTCATCACCTGCTTGTTTCTATGGAGATGTGATTGTTCTGCCTAAAATGTTCCACAGTCTGACAACAGCTTTACCTTAAATGTATTAAATTACATTATTGCTCAAAAATACCTTGAAAAACAGGCATTCTGATTGTGAGTGGGGTTGCCTCTCCACAGATCTGACCTGTAAATTTGGTTTCCATGAAGATAGAAGATAGATAAAATATATACATAACAAACATTCTAGACAAAGAAATTACATCTCCATGGAGACAGGTATTTGATGGACCCTCTGCCAGAAAAGTTACACAATGCACCTTTAATAGGCTACATTTAACTATAATAAACATTATTAATTATTGCTTTTCTGTTGCATAGTATTTACAATTTATTATTGTTGCAAACTAGTCATTATTTTTGCAAATTAACTGATGTATTGATTATTTTTTTCATTTAATCAATACACAGTGAGATAGTAAAAATAAAGTAACGCAAGTTTTTACTTGTATTTGTAAAGGTGCACTGTGTAACTTTTCAGGTGGAGGGCCCGTTATCTGCTTGTCACCAGGGAGATGTTACTGTATTGCCTGGAATGATCTACAATATTAGCCAGGCTGGCGCCACCTAGTGCCTCTGCTCAATTTCATTTCTCTCCAACGACTAGACCAGGAATCAGAATACACTAGACAGTTTGCAAGAAACTCGGAAGTTGTAGATCGCGCACCAGCCAATAAGTGAAGAGCTGTGAAGCCATGACGTCAAACTCAAGCACCTGTCCTGGTCCCTTTTGTGGTACAGCACAACAGTAAACAAAGTGGTCGAGATGGACGTAGACGAAGCCATACATTGTGTGTTGGCAACAATTCCCGAGATCGAGGATTTAAAGACGGAACAAAGAGAATGTTTGGTGAATTTTATCAAGGGGAAGGACGTTATTGCCCTTCTTCCTATGGGATGGTTGGTTAAATAAAAAAAAAGTACCCGCCTACCGTCGAGTGAATCCTTAATGGAAATCCACGAAGTGAAATCGGATGGTGAATCAGACTACTACAATGTGGCATTAAACTTATCTAACTCCATGGAAACAAGTTATTACAGGTCAGATCTTGGGAATGGTGACTTCAAATACAACATATTTAGCTATTTAAGCACATCTAAATGAATAAATGCTTAATAGATAAGTTTCATGTTACACTGTGTAACATTCCATAGCAAAGCAATTACATCTCCATGGAAACAAGCAGTTTGTAGACTCCACACTTTAAAGTTGCATAGTACACCTTTAAAATCACCATACAAACAAATCTAAACATAAATAATTATCATAAAGAAAACATTAAGAGAGAAGAGTGTAGAATAAAAACCTTTCAATCATAGACACAGAATTGTTTATAGCCTGAATTTATTGTCAGAGTAGAGGCCTGTCTCAAACGTACGACTGAAGACTTGTGAATGTGAAGTTTTCATTAATTTGAACCACACGAAGCTAAACCTATACCCCTGACAACTTCTTGATATTTTAGACAAGTGCTTTTATTTTTCATCAAAACTACAAAATTGTTATTCTTGTACTGTTCTGGCTCAGTTGCTGCTTGTGTTGGTAATAAAACTTCTTTCTATAAGCACACAAGATGGTTTATCATCTGTGTACCCTTCAGCCAACGATTGCTGATGACTAAGTTGAGGATTACTTCAATAATTTATTAGCCTTGTTCAGTCTGGTTAGTTTTTGCAGTTCTAAAAATCTATTAAATCTACCGCTAATATCTCCGTGTTTGTTTTTGTTGCAGTTGAATGAGATACGAGCTAACATCCTCAACGTTACTCGCAAACTGATGGCGACCTCGGCTCTCCTGGCCATGAGGCAGGCTCTGGTCCTCAGTCTGCAGCAGGAGATCAAAGACAAAGAGCTGCAGGTACACTACACGCATGAACGTCGATGCGGTGTTTTATGCCAGTGTTATGAGTTAGGACGGTTGCCATAGCGATGAACAATTAAGTCCTCAAAAAGTTGCATAAAGCAGGAAGCAGGAACCCATGAATGGTTTTCAGTGATAACTTTTCTGTTTTGCTGGGGGTCAGTAACTATGACAACACACTACACACACTGTACAAACATGGGAAACAGGACAGCAGCAACAAAACCGTTTTGGTCTGAAAACTCAAGAAAAATAATATGGGTTTAAACAGCTAATTAAATCAGAGTTGTGTTTCCTGTGTTGATTAAAAAATTCTGTGTAAATTGGCTTGAGAGGTAAAAGCTGAATTACCTTAAGTAATTTTACAGGCCATATACCTATCTAAATGATAATGTAAAACAACCCATCAAAACACTGAATCAAATTTTATTGTTATTTTTATGTATCTCTGGTGGTCTTGTTATTGTTCCTCATCTCTTGCCTGTAATTGAATGAAAAGTAATGATACACACAGGGACAATTAAAAAGAAAAAAACAATGAGTACTAATTAAGAAATACTTATCATATGAAGACAAGTTTTAAATGTAAGTAAATATATAGTAGTATCTATGACAACCATGTACAACTCTTAAGTGTCTGATTATAGCGCATGTTAAAATAACTCTGGATATAAAAGTGAAATTATCACTACACCAGCATTTACAGATGAATTCTAAGGTAGGCTTCTTCATTTAATGTTGTCTTTTAATTAAGTTGTTACAAGGAATACTGATTGTTAATAATCTTTGACCCAATGTTTTATTTATAACACTCTGTCATTTCAACTTGCTCTTTTAACAAAATGAAATAATAACACCTAAAATAAAATTTAACTTCATGATAGATACAAAGTTTCAGCAGTAAGAAACGTGTTTTTTAGAAAGTAACTTTAGGTCAGTTCAGCAGAGACCGGGGTTGTGTCACCTAGAAGATAAAAAAGATAAATTTAGCTTTCATTCAGATTTCATTCAGTATTCTGACTCTATATAGTGATAAATATATTAATCAGTAGTGACCCAGCTGCTCATCAGGTTGTTTCACCTTTTTATGGACATTTGGCATATCTTTCTAGCAGCATGGGTTCATAATGATGAGAAATTAAGAGCGTTGTCATAGCGATTAACAACAAAATATCTTTTGAATGGGAAAACTCCTCGAAATATTGCATAGAAACCCGAAACCCATAAATTTTAATACTTCTAATAGTCATACCTTCATTGTTTTACACAAAAGATGGAAGTATTGTATCTAGACTAAACTATATTTGTTATTACAATCTTTTAGCAGCAGTGACATATAGTATTTCGTCCCTATGGTCACCTCCTCTCACATAAATATTGCAGCTCACTCGTGGTATAACCCTAGGACCCCCTGCAGGTGCTGTTTGCCTGCAGCCTGCTCCATCTCGCTCTAAACCCAACACATTTAGAGACATAACTTCACCTGCTGTCCCGCACTAATGCCACCATCTGTTTTTTGGAGTGCAGACACAAATAAAGTGGGCCTGTGTGGTGGTGTGGAGAGCTCCCAGTGACGAGAATACAAAGTGAATGCTGTGTCTCTCTTTGGCCCCGTGTGGGTTTTCAGATGGACAGGTGCCAGAGGCGGCTGGAGCAGGACCTACCCCTCTGCCCTGAGATGGAGGAGGAGTGGAAGAGGATGCTACGGGACAAGAAGAGGAGGCAGAGGGACAGAGAGGAGAGAGAGAGGGTAAGTGGACATTTGAGACGTGTTAGACTAAAAGGGTTTTATCTTGGAAATGGGAAATAGCACTCACAATCTTGCCCGCTTGATATCGGCTTGTTCTGAAATAAAGTTGTATTCATTTTTAGATTGAAATAGCCAAGGGACTGATAAGAGTCCTTGAAATGTTATGTTGTCCTAGAATTGCTGCGTAATGTTTTAAGCCCAATTCGTTACAGGAAAATTATTTGATGAATTCAAACAGTATTGTGTATATTTCAAAGTTCAAACTCTCCATAAACCCGTCATGATAACACATTTTGAAGGATGATATACTGTATTGCTACAGAAAAATATTGCAATAAAAAGATAATATTGAAACTACTATTTCACTGATACAAAGCAAGATCATTCCAGTAAACCTATTTTTAAATGTACTGTATCATTAAAAGGCCTGAGCTGCAACAAATAAATAGCAGAATGAATAATAATGAATAAGCCATAGAAGTTACTTATTCAACCCTTTACAGCTCAAATCTTACCTTCTTACATAAAAATGGCAAAAATCTCCCCACTATCGCAAAGACATTGTACACATGATAAATACTGAGCCCCAAAATATATAGTTCCAGCTTTTGTATAATGAACGATAAGTTGATACAGTAATTATAGCGACTGACCTAATTGTCCTTTCATACGTCGTTTGAGTTATGTTTTGATTACACAACGCTTCACTATAAACTGAATTGCTTACTAATGTTATTTTTATTATTATTATTATGTATTATTATGTATGTTGCTGCCTGACAAAATGAATTTCTTTAGGATAATAACGCATGATCTATCTATCCCTATTATATTTTACAAAGCAGGCTGAACTAAAGTTAGACTGAACCAACTCAGAGTTGTCTGTTTCAGAAACCACCGTTAGACCATTCTGTGTTTATTCACCTTGAGTTTAGCCGAGAGCAAACAATGGAGCCAAGAAAAGAGGATTCTCTTTAAACCAGAACAGGCTCCTATTTCAGAGTAGTGCTGAACGATTATAAGAAAAATCTAAGTACATTTTTTTTTAATTTTGACAAGTATTGCGATTGTGATTAGATTAGCAATACATGTTTAAAAAAGTAGGATTTTGTTATTTATTTAACTGTGTAGTTTATAGTTATATATAGTATTATTATTATATTATATTAGTATTATTGTTATATTAGAAATTATAAATGAAATTAAAGATTTAAAAGTGGCAACAGGACCAGGTTAAGTTCACAGATTGAGTTGCTGTGGTAACTGACCACAGGTATAGGTCAACGCTCTGTGAAACTGAAAGCTCACTTAGCAGCGAAATCATAGTCTAAAAGAAAATCTGCTCCGCAAACCACTGAGTAAACCTCTTTAAATTGTTTAGAAAAATGACAAGTTTAAAACACTGGGTGCACTATTGTATTGCCCTCAGTATAAAGACGCAAAATGGAGGTGTTTTCTCCTTGAGTAGTTCACGATCAGTGGAGTGGAGGGGCAGACGCACTGAGACATAACACGGCACATGACAGACTGAGTAGAAAACAAACAGATGTAGATGCAGATCAGTACCTCCTCACCTATCTCGTATCTCCACTCACACCTGCCCGAAACACGGCAGAATACTCCTCTTCACTCAAATCAATTCTGCACATCGTTGTTAAGTTTTCTGTTTATTCTGTTTATTTATAGGATCTATACTAAGCTACTTTCTGATCTATGTCATAATGTTTCCTCATCAGAAACATACCTATTTGTGTGTTTTGTTTCATGCACAAATGTTGTTTTTGTTCCACCTTTTGATGTCATGTGGTAATACAGGAAATGCTCCACTGTGTTTTTAAACTCCATACACCTTCACTAGAATCAGATGGATGATTTCAGCCCTGGAAATGTCAATCTATTGAATAAAAAATAAAAGGTAGCTGTACTGGAAAACTACAGCTTCATGACATCACAAGGTGGAACAAAGTAGTAGTAGTAGTAGTAGTAGTTTATTTGGTCATTTTGCAGCACTACAAAACCAAACAAAACCAAACATAGACTACAATCCCATAGATCATGACTGAAAGGGTTTAGGCTGAAGTTAAAGGTACTTATAATGCCTAATCCTATTAAACAATAACAGAATTCCAAGAAAAAACAGCGTATGAACAGCTTTTACATTTACAATTTCACTTATGACTTACTGTATATATAAGAGACAAAATATAAATTAAAATAAACAAAACTCAATGCATAATTCATTCATTCCAGAGCTCTATATCTTTCAAAACATAACGCTGTATATTTTTTTTTCAAAGGCTTCTACAGTGTTAGACTTTTTTTTTTTTTTTATCATCACTCAAGTTATTCCATATACTAACCCCTCTAACAGAAATACAGTTATGTTTTTTCTTAGTTCTTCTCATTTTTTTAAAGATACCTGTTCCTCTAAGGTTATACTGACTCTCTCTCTGCTCAAATAACTCCTGTAAACAAGGCGGAAGCAGATGAGCATAGGCCTTGTACATCACTTCGGTCAACTAAAATCAAAAAATGTAAGTGATTTTAGCTTAACAAAAAGAGCATTTGTTGGTGCATAGTAATTCGCATGATTAATAATGCTGATAACCTTCTTTTGGAGTACTTTTTTTGTATTATAATATTTTTAATTTTTATTATTTTTTATTATTTTATTATTATAATTTTTTAAAGTATTCCCCCATATTTCCAGAGCATTTTGAGGTCTGGAGATGTAGACAGACTAATAATTCAGGATTACTCAAACATGTGTTGTAATGAAACAAAACACAACTCCAGGTATGTTTTTGATGAGATAACAACATTATAACACGGCTAAAAGCTCACAAGTGTCAGTTTTGTGTAACATAGGACCTTTATAAATTATTTGGCATTGGTCCTAACACACAACATGCGTCTTCCAGTTCACAAACAAGTCCCTGCACGCACCTCATACAAGATGATAACAGTGGCCCCAAATCCTTATTGAAATAGGATGTCATGCAAATTTTTTAAGCTCCTTATTTTTATTTGTTGTTATTGGTGCCGTGTATCCTGAGTTAGCCTTGTTGTGTTTTCATTATAAGTGATGGCACTGATTTTGTGTGACCGTGAAGACAAAGTGGTCAGAAGGTTCTAATACAAAACATGCATGGATAGAAACTGTATCCACGGTATCATCTCCATATGCAAATGTTTTAAGCTTCTCATTTTTCACATTTGTTGGCAGCGTCTTTTTTGGTCTTGTCTTGTTTATTTTTTATTGAGTGAGAGCATAGACAGATTTAATTGAAAAGTGACCAAACATTTAAAGTGCAGAGTTTCCAACCTGCTTGTCTCCATAGAAATGTTCCTGGTTTTACTAAAGTTCCACACTATGGCATTAAACATCTTTCTCCATGGAGACAAGCAGATGGAAGCATCAGGGGAAGTTACAGGTGAGATCTGTGGAGAAGCAAGCCGCTCACTTTAAGAACTTAGGTTTAGCAATAAAAATGCTTGAATAAATGCAAGATAGCTTCATTTAATACCATAGTGTGGAACATTCCAGACTAAGCACCATCATTTCCATGGAGACAAGTAGGTGCTGGGCCCTCTTCCAGAAACATTATAGAGCCAAGACCAAATAGGACACCCTCAAGTCAAGTATAATTGCTCAGTTTTGAGCCAAAACTCCAAATGTAATGATTTTTTTTCCTTCTGACCCCTTGTGGCTATAGATGTACATATCTCTGGGCTTAGACTTACTTAGACTTTGACAAAATTTATTGATCCACTAGAGAAATGATTTGGACACAGTAGCTCATACATCACACTATATTATAATAACAAAGGGCAACAATATAAATGGTAATAATAAATTCAAAATAAGTAGCAAGAGACTGGTGCATAATTCATAGTTTTACAAAAGTATACAAGTGAAGTAAAAAGACAGAAGTATAGAAATGTGCTTAAAAACAGTTTCCTTACCTGTCTTAAAGTGGTAAACACAGACCAATCACTCATTGCTAAAACTGTCTGCACAAAATCAAACTGAATACAAATGTTAATCTCTTTCCTTGTCACAAATCTGTTGCTTCTGAAGATCCATATTTTGTTGTTTATTTATGCGCTCGTCCTCTCTGTGCTTTCAAGATCTATTATTATTTGTGTTGTGCTCAGTGCTCAGATCACATGCCAGTGGATAAACTGTTCATATGCATGAGAAAACGGCCCCCTCTTTGAAGCCTGCGCGTGCTTTAGCCACACTTCATTTGCATGCTGTTGCGGGGTGGAAGTCAAAGGCAAAGCGCTACATTTCCAGACGTTATTTTCACAGCAGTTCGTCGACATGGGTCCATCAAACACACTGGGATCACATAAGGTTTTCAAGATGTCCTCAAAAGTTTCTCTATTTTGGTTTGGGCAAAACTAGACTAAAATGAACACCAATGAGTGAGTCAGTCCTTATCTCAATTATGCATCATCTGATTGCTTTCCCGTGGACTCTGTGGTATTCATGAATAAACTAGATTTGAACCCAACAGAAAATATTCCAAATTGTTCCAGCCAGTAGGGTGTGAATCTCTGTGGCACCAAATTCTGCTTCATTAGATTGAAAATTGATTTTTGAATAGCCCACCCTGTTAGAATAATTATTAGATTTCATTCTGTTGGATAATGCTAATGCTTACAGAGACTGTCATGCAACACAACAGCGACAACACAAAGCATTTATTTATTTTATTTTCTAATTGTTTTTACATAAACCACATATAAACTTGTCAGTTGAAAATACAAAGGAAAAGCTGAAATAATGTAATTTAAACATTTTGGAGAGCACTGTTTTGTTAATTCCAGGTTCAAACAGAAACTGCACCATTGATTTGTAGCTTTGTTTTTATTCCTTATTCATCAAACAAGAGACAATTACCCTTTAAGTATATGTGACCACAAATTGTATCAAATAATGTAGTAATAATTTAATGTAAGAGAAGATAGAATAGGATTGTGACCATAAATGCTAAATGGTTTATACAGTGCTGTTTCACCTTCAAGGCACTCAAAGCACTTTACATCAAGGAAGCACTCACCCATTCTCACACACATTCATACACCAGCATACACAGACACTGGGGCGAGGCAGGTTAAGTGTCTTGCCTAAGGACACAATGACAGCATTCATCTGTGGAAGCTGGAATTGCGCTGCCAACCTGTGGGTCAGTGAGTCGGACCAGTGGTGTTAATGTCTGTTACGAACCAGTGCTACGGACAAAGGAAAGTAACACAAACAAGATGTGATGTAATGTAAGTGGCTTTTATAAAGTAAATGTAAGTAAGTATAATAACAAAAACAAGATCTTTTACATAAGATAAATCAAAAATACCAAATACAACTAAACAATACCTCAACTGGGTTAAGTATAAATCAAAGAAAATACAAATGCCCAAGGGTCAAGGAAAACTGGCCATTAGACAACAAAAATTATAGGTCAATAACGACGTCTACAGTCACAATACACAATTCAACAAGAGAAACGTCTATCAATGAGAGTGGCGAACTGAAACTGAAATCCAGCCATGCAGAGGGTGCACAGCACTTTTACTGGATGATGCGATGGGATGTGTAGGAAGGGGATTGGAGGAGCGGGACGACAAACCTCCAACCACAGCATGATGAACATTGGAGCCAGCGACGGGACCACACCCCACCAATCAGGCGCCGGGTACCACACAGCATATGCATATACAGAAGGCACAAACAGTAAAACAAATGGAGGGCGCCGGGTGAGGCAGAGCCGGGCCGCCAGCTGTAACAATGTCAAGAGTGGGAATCAAACTGCGAACCTTCAGATCAGTGGATGAACACTAACATAAATAACAAACATAGATCCATGCTTTTTCCATGCAGTTTAAAAAACTTCAATTTCTTTTTAATGTGAGAAGTGTCGTTGCGTTAAAAAAAAAAAAGAAAGAGGAAACTGTAAACCTGGAAGTCACACTTACCACCCCTACTGCATATTGTGAAAGTGAATTAAGTGAATCACGAGTCACTGGGAAAGTGACGTCAGTGGTGACAAGTATTGCATTCACACCTTAAAAAAAACTGAATACATTAGCATTTTAAAACATGTAAAACAGTGGTATGTTAAAACACATATAGAAATAGCTCTGTAGTTTGTTTCACAGTTAGATGAGCCCTGCGGTCATCCTGAGCTCCACCTGCGTCAGCCTCTCCAGATCCATCCATCCACATCAGTAATAATTTAGTAGACATCCATTTGCCCTTGAATGACTGACTGCTAAAACCATACAAGTTTATTTTTTACTCTGCGGATTGTTAAACCAGCTGTGATTTGACAAGCCCCCAGAAAATGATGAAGAATAAAGGCGTGGAGTAAAAATAAGCTTGCATATTGAAGTCAGGACGTGTTAACTGGAGGAAGAGACTTTGCAATGTGAAATATTGCTAATGGTAAAAGCTCTGTGCATTGAATTGCTTTTGAATAGTCTCCTAGTTATCCGTGGGTTTCAGAATGATGAAAAAGTAAGATTGTTTCTATAGCTATAAACAATTCAAAACTAAATATTATATCTTTTGAATGGGGAAAAGTGAAACCCCCATGAATATTTTGTGAGTGCAGCATGCTAAAGAATGCAAACCAAAAGCAACAAGTAGAAAAGAACATTTACTAGTTAATATTATTTATGTAGATTCTCAATACCTCGAAATACTTACAGACAATTTTGCTGTATAAAACAGTTGTTAGAGTCATAATGCAACTCTGTTTAAAGGTGCACACCATGGTAGTGGACCTCAAAAGTTACACAATGCACCTTTGAAGTTACGTATTGTCTAGCTGAAGAAATAACCAGGTTGTCGCCACCTAGTGCCTCCGCTCAATTTCATTTCTTTCCAGGGACTAGGTCAGGAATCGGAATAAAGTAGATGATTTGCAAGAACCCTGGAAGTTGTAGACTGCGCACCGGCCAATCAGCGAAGAGCTGTGAAGCCATGATGTCAAACTCAAGCTTCTGTCTGGGTCCCATTTGTGGTACAGCACAACAGTAAACAAAGCGACTGAGATGGATGTAGACAAATCCATACATTCTGTGTTGGCAACGATTCCCGAGATTGAGGATTTTCACTCTTTGCTTTGTTGCTGTTTCTGTTTTGCCAGAAATTACTTGGACACCACTGAGTGTTTCGGCGCATTACATATGTCACAATAGCAGCGACTAGTAAAATAAAAAAAACGTACCTGCCTACTGTCGAGCAAACGAATCCTAATGCTGCGAGGTCAGAAATTTCACTTCATGGAAACCGATGAACCAGGCTACTAAAGAATACTGAAGCGAGAAAATGAGAAACGAGAAATTCGAAAGAAAATCCCACAATATCGTTCACATGTACAGATTTAGAGTGACATTCTCTGCATAGCTTATAAAAGAACTGTGAAATATTGAGATACGACATATACCAGTTTGATTTTGCTCTGACAGACGCTGCTTTTTCTGTCAAGATGTTTTTCAAAGTCTGACTCTATCTTTTCTACTGCTTATCTCTTTAACGTTTTTATTTTCAATCAGAAATAAAATACATATCCACCCTGTTCCTCTTTATGTAACATTTTTACATGATTACTCAAGAAAGCAATGTGCTGAGGTCTACAAAAAATAAAAGATTGCGTGCTTTTCTGCCAAACATTTATTTCATTTTGAACTGATAATCTTCCCAATGTTAACATCTTGCATTACAAAACCAATTCTTTTGAACAATATATTTTGCTTTACAAGTATCACCAAAATGTCTTAAACTAAGAATCTACTAGCTCTGCAACAAGTCTGAAACATGTTTAACCCTAATTATAAAATGTTCTATATTATGCAAAACTGACTCTGGTAGGATTTTATTCATGTTAAAATGTTATTATCTCATCAAAAACATACCGGGGGTTGTGTTTTGTTTCATTCACACGTTTCAATAACCCTGCATTATTAGTGTGTCTACATCTCTACAGCTCAACCTTGTGATGTCTTGAAGCGGTTGTTTCCAAGTGAGCAGCTCCTTTTTCCTTTTGTGCAGTACAAATTTGCTAATCCAGATCTGAAATCACCCAAATGATTCTAGAGAAGGTGTATAGAGTTTTAAAACACATTGGAGCACTTCCTGTATTACCACATAACATCACAAGGTGGAGTTTTTCCTATTTGAAAGAACTCAGCCTAAATATGCAGGGTTTATATATTAAACGTGTGTGAATGAAACAAAACAAAAGTCCATGTTTGTGATGAGGAAACAACATTATACTAGATCAGAAAATAATGCAGTATGAAGACCGGTTGGCTCTAAATTGTGAAATAATAAATATAATATGTTCAAATGTGGTACCTTTCTCATAAATTGTCTTCTAAAATTGTTGTTATTGTCTTATTTCAGTTGGCCCAAGAGAATGAGTGGAAGGAGTTACCCAATGGAACATTCACCACCGCCCCTCGCCGCCCAGATGCCTACATCCCGGAGGGGTCCGAGCTGCCTGTGCCCAGACCCTACGGTGCCCTGCCCCCCTTCAAACCCACGCCCTCCGGAGCCAGCATGAGGCACATCCGCAAACCGGCCCCCAAACCTCTGGAGATATAATAAAGAACATGTACACAAGTAACAGGTGTGAGAAGCAAAGACATGTTTGAGTAAAGTTCACTGCATGTACTTTTGTCTTTCTCCAATATCAGAATGAGAATCTGAATTGTATTATTTATTCCAGTATAAAAAATACACAGAAATGACACACTGTACTTAGGTCCAATTATCAGTAGTGTAAAGTAGTTAAACATATTGTATTACAGCTGCTGATGACAACAACATTCACTGAAGCTCTGTTACTCAAATTAGAATTTATTAGAATTTAATCTGCGTTTTAATTTAATGCAATCTGACCAGAAAAAGATGATTTGTGTTTTCTGTTGAGCAGCAGACATCTTAACAGGACTATAAACGCTCATATTGATCACAGACTCCGGAAATGTGTTGTTTAAACCATTTTGTGTTTTTTCTTGAGTTTTCAGATTACCTTAAAACTTGTTTTTGACAGTGTTTGCTAATGTGTGCATTGTGCCACCATGTTAACTGCTGAACAAACAAAATATCCTACCCTACTTAACTAACCAGAATACCAGAAATGGAGACCAATTCCAAAGGGAAAACTAAATTGGTCATCAAATCTTGCACACGATAACACAGTTTAACAATATTTGGTCGTAATCTCACAAATTGCACTAGCTATAACTTGTAATGGGAACAACACAGATGCAATTTCAGTCAAACTGTTTCACATTATATTAAATTATCCTCTTCTAGTTCTGTCAATCTATATTCTATTTCAGTTTTTATTAGTATCAGACCTTGTACAGAAAGTATGATTTTAAAAAGTATATACTCAAACAGAACAAGTGAGGCTTGCTGTCCAGACAATAAAACTGAAATAACAACTTGGACTATTTGAGGGATCCCATAATTGCAGCTACTTACCTCTATGGCGGTGTATTTTTGCACTGTTGGTAGTTAGTGTCATTTAAATGGCAAGTGTGTGAGAATAACATCAGCTTTTCTACGTATTTACTTTATTTTTACAAGTTGAAATGAGACTTTTTCATACTTTTTCTGCTCCTAGTGAGAAAAGTGAATTCTTGAACACGTTTTGGGAGCGTTGTGTGTTTTTAATTCCTTTTGTTTGATTCTTGGCAAGAGTTTGTTTACACTTAAAGTCAAATTGAATAGTCCAGAAGGGTATTGGGAGGATTATGAGTAAGAGAGCATAAAAAATTCCCCCAAAAATTCCTGTTTTTTGCCCAGAAACCTGCCAATCAAAGTGTCCCAACCCCCTTAAGGACACTAATGTATTTATGCCATGCTTTTATAATGTTGCCTCGAGTGAATAAATTGTGGAGGACTTAAGCTCTGAGCCAGGCCGTAGAGTGGCTGTAAATGTAAATAGAGATTGGGAGAGTGTGCAAGGCAATGAAAGAGCATAGAGAATGACAAAGAGAGAATTTTAATGGAGAGCAGGCTGTGAGCAGAAGAGGAAGTCAAACACATGAAAGGGTTAGGGCTAAATATGGCGCTGCTGCGGAGTTTACTGCTGGTTACCACTGACCGGAAAAGACTGCATTTCTAAGTGCTTTTGAGGGCAAAGAAGGGCTACTGTGTTGGTGTTTGAGGTCCATGTGAGGAGCATTGCTTTGGTTTGTTCTCTCAAATCTGATATTCTCTATTCATGAGTTTTATCTTGAATATATTATATGCAACATTTTCACTTTTTAGAATTCAGAAGAGATGCTCTTTTGTTTAAAGGTCCTATATTACACAAAATGGACTCTTGTGAACTTTAAGACCAGTATCGCTCCCATTACACTACACCATATCCACCAAATTCTAATAATGACAACCCACTACTATATCTAGAATCTAAGAGCCACTGTGGATTAAACCTACACTTCCATAAGATCCATCCAACATCTTTCTCCACTGTATTGATTGTTTACTCATTGCCACCAGCGCCAGAAACTAAAACACTGTTTGCGCATACTCCAAATTGGACGTTCATTCACGTTACATGATTTCACGTTGTTTTTTTTCCCTCCCTCCATTTAACATACATAAAAAGGCTAATGAAATTTAAGACCTTTGTAAAAAAATAAGATTGGACAACATAATTTAAGACTTTTTAAGACCTTAATTTAGGAACATGAAATTTAAGACCTTTTTAAGACCTGCGGGGGACCTGTATAATGTTATCGCATCATTAACATACCTGGAGTTGTGTTTTGTTTCATGCACACATGTTTGAGTAATCCTTTATTGTTAGTCTGTTGACATCTCCACAGCATCTTTTGGTGTCATATTAGGTTAGGTTAGGTTGCTTTATTTGTATCTGTAGGTAAATTTGTTTTGCAGGTTTGAGAGGCAGGTCCCACATTTCACATTTCATTCATTCATCCACATTATGTCCAATAACACGTATAAAAACACTGTTACAAAATAAAGTGTTACAGTGCTCCAGAGCAGAATGGTTTGTTCCATAAAAAAATTCATCCATGTAGTGGTAGTTTTCACATTCAGTTCAGTTGAAATTGGCAATTCCAGGACTGAAATTATCCAAATGATTTTAGTGAAGGTGTATGGAGTTTAAAAACACAGTGGAGCACTTCCTGTATTACCATATGACATCATAAGTTGGCTCTGTTGTGTTTTCTGTTTGAGAGAAGAACTCAGCCTTAATATGCAAGGTGTGTGTGTTAGACATGATACAAAACTCCGGGGATGTTTTTAATGTGGAAATAACTTTATAACATAGATTAGAGAACAGTGCAATATGAAGCCTTTAAACTGTTAATCACTATGGCAATTTCTCATCATTCAGAAATTCTCCTATGGATACTTGTGTGTAATTAGTAATGTGTAAAATTAGTCATTTTTCTTAGTCAGTGGTGAGTCCCAGTGGTGGGAAACATCAAATTCTGTTTGGGATTTTAGGATTTACAAAGTTTTTTGGATGAGAGTACAAAAGTCTCTACTTTAAAACACAGTCCAGATGACCTTATGAAACCTCTTGTCACTATAGTTTTGACTGACTTTCATTGATCCTGGTTTGGTCGTGGTCTTGGCCTTGTATATTTCTGATTTAAAGCTATATTCCAGCTATAGTTGCTAGTGCTCATAGTCTAGCTGCTCCTATGCAGATTTACACGTCTACTTTGTATTCAGCAGCCAAGGCCTTGTAAATAAAAATGTTCTTGTATTAAAAAGAGATATTTATTGCACATATGAAACATAATATTGGTATATACAGGTTTGTCCATATCACTAAGCTCTGTTCAAATGCGCAATTGAAATGGTATGGATAAATGAGTGCTTCTCTGTGAACCTGTATTGCATTGTCAAATACACAGCACAGTACATTCTAAGTTTCACATGCAGCCCACAAGTAGCCCACTTAAAATACCTGCCGCATATTAAAGGTGCATTGCGTAACTTTTCAAGTGGAGGGTCCGCCATCTGCTTATTGTTTTGCCTGGGATGTTCCGTTAATCAAATATATCTTGCATTTATTCAATTACACGAGTTTTATGTTTCTCAAAACTACCGCAAAAACATACATTCTTACAGTGAGCAGGCCCTCTTCTCCACAGATCTGAACTGTAACTTGGCCTGTTGCTGTAGCTGCTTGTCTCCATGGAGATAGTTAAATTAAATGCCATACTGAAGAACCTTTAAGAGTAAACAGGGCATTAGGTTTGATGCTACTACTTTAAACACACATTCATGGATCATATAAAAAGTAATGCTGCCAAATTTTGTGTAATAAATTATTAATAATAATCAAGAAAAAGTATTCCTATAAATAGTCCTAAGCAGTTGTACAATCTGACCTGACTTGTTTGTGTTTTAAAAATGTGATCCATTTTCTTTTTAGTTCGGAGCCACACATTTCCAATATTGTGAGTTGGCGTTGAGGTTCACATTGGGGTCACCGCTTCTATTTGCTCTGTTGTCTGGTCGTGCTGCAAGTCAAGCTTTTAAAAGGTACGAGGAGGAGGCAGGAGCAGTAGTTAAATCCACTAGCCTCCTATAGATAGAACATGTGTGTAAGAGTGTGTAAGACTGTGATCATCTGACTGTCAGATTAAATTAGCCCCTGACTGTTCAGTGCTAATTAGCTCACTACATAACGCCAGCTGCATAACAGAAAGTAGATGAGGGATTTGGTTGTGTTTACAGGAAAGAGGAATTCCCAGGAAAAAGGGAGGATTTAGGGGAACAAGTTGGCGAGAAGTGGAGGTTCAAAGATTGTGTAATATGCTGATAAAATGCCGTAATATGGCCCCAAAAACTGCGGGTGAGTCAGCGTGCGATGACTCCTGCAATGAGAAGTTCCTTGGAATCACCACAAACAGCACTTTCAGACGCACTTCACCCTTCACCCCTCCTTCTTCTTGAGTTTAATGACTGGCGGTACTTTCAACTGTCTATTATTATGCCACCTTCTGTGTAGTTTTAATATTTGTACTGTGTAAATATTTTGACAGTGTTAAAATAAAATATAAAGTCTCCTGAATATTCCGTTTTACACCAATGTCTTTATACAGTTAGCTGGCTGTAAAAATCTCTCTCTCAGCATATGGTCTAAATCTCCATCAGTGATACTCGCCTGAACAAATGAGGCACAACTGTCGCCAATATTAATAGTTTTATAATCACTCATTTTCATGCTATTTCATAAAAGCGCTTGATGAGTGATGAGTAGTACACATCCAGACCCGCCTTATTACACCGTTTCACCAGTGAGTAAAAAATGTAGTCAAATGTAGGCCTATTTATTTTACTTCAAAACTGTCCAAACACAAATAAGTGCACCTTTTATCTCAGTTGCATTTTTCTTATTTTATAAATGCTTGGATGATCTTACTAATGACTAAATAACAACAAATACTTTTTAGACCAATCACACTGTTCCTTATATATCCAGACCAGCCCCTCTGCTCCCCTTTAATCCTCCAGATACAGCCTGGTACTAATTTAGCATTTATTTATTTGAAATGAGGTTGTGGGCAGAGTTTATGTATTTAACAAATTAACTATTTTAGGTAAGAAGCAGAACTCACACGTGTGGTAGTTTTGTAAAGAGCCACTGTGTACGTTTTTGTTTGTCTCCACATACGTTTCAACCGAACAGCAGCGATTGGTTAAACCTACCGTCGAGCGAACGAATCCTAATGCTGAGATGATTTTCACGAAGTGTAACTGGCTGATGAATCAGACTAGGAATCCACAGTATCACTAAAATAAACGTATCTGCATTTATCTGATTGCTGGCCTTTTAATGCTCAAAAAAGATGCATTCTCTGTAAGTCTCTACACATTTATATCTGACCTGTAACTTGGCCTAATTGCATCACCCGCTTGACTCCATGGAGATAAGTTTAATGTTATACTGTGGAACATTCTAGACAAAGTCTCAATAGAGCCAAAGTTATAGAGCACCTTAATATTAATACTTGACATGACAATAGGAAATGCTGAGAATGTTTGTGCACATATTTTATTTATGTTTTACATTAATATGTAAAAACAAAACATGGTTGATTAAAAATTCCCTTTTAGCATCACAAATAAACTTTTGGTATTCAGTTTCATAAAAGGCAGCAGCAGACTCCAGACTGACAGATTTCCAGTAAAATTAAAACTGACAATTAGCAAGAGCAGCATTAGACCGAAAATTAGTTGGTTCCATAAAATAAAAATACAGATTTTTCCTCAGCCCCAGTTTCACTGAAATGCATTTTACTACAGCCCCAAATAACTGAGATGGGGCATGAAACCAGAGCAGATGTGCAGTATTTCCCACTCTTCATCTTGTTTTGTCTTGTTTAAAAATGCATAATGGGACGTAACAAAGCCATCTGATTCACTGAAGTTCTGTTGGTTAAATCAACGATCTTGTTAAGCCCTGCAAGACGACTGCTGTTTGGGCTTTACAAAAATTAACTGAAAAAGTGAAAACGAAGTGTACTCCAAAATGTAAAAGAGAGAGAAAGAAGTTACTGAAGTTGCTGTGTTGTTGCGTGCAAACTATTTTATAATATAAGTGCACACAAGGACATTTTTTATCTAAATGAAATGCTAAATGAGGAGATATTATAATTAATAGTTGGATTATATGCATTATAATAACCACAATGTTATTAAAAAAATAAATTCAAGTTAAAAGTCAATTACAACTCTATATCATAAAGGAGTATTTGCTGAGAATTTGTGACTGGATATTATTGTATTACATTAACAAATTATTTTATATCTACATTGTAATTGTCATAAACATTGACAAAAGGGACATTTAAAGAAGACCTACTGTGCTTGTGTCTGCTGTATAGTTATAATCTATGACATCCATGGATCATTATGTTAAAACTTGGACATTTTAAATTGTAATATTATTCTGAAACAAGTGCGCTGACTTCCGCTCTAGAAACCTGCTGTGCACAAAGGGAGCTGATGTTACCCTAAACATAACTAGGGCGAGATTTTCCATCTGAACCACAATGACTACACTGTCGAATCCTACACTTGGAGAATGAAGTACAGTGGTCCCTCGTTTATCACGGGGGGTAACGCTCTAAAAATAACCCGCAATAGGCGAAATACGCAAAATAGTCAGCTTTATCATTATATATGTTTTAAGGCTGTAAAACCCCTCACCCCACACTTTAAACACTTTTTTCAGACAGGACAGTATCGCTGCTGTCGTCCTTATGTTATTTTCCTCCTTCTTTATGTAACGAACTGAAGATTAATTTATGAAATGGCGCCCTACAGCCACATAACTTCTACCTTCCTTCAGCATGTTCAAAGGTCCAGCTTTTTGTGCGATGGTTACATCTGCCTCTGCCTTTTGGGTGCGACCGCAGGAGCGTTTGTCGGGTCAAAACGTTTCGTCGAGGTGAAAACTCACAAACATACAGCTCTTCAGAATCACACTGCTACAGGTCAAACATTTATGTCAATTTGTCAAGCTGAAGGCATTCTGTACTGTACAAGAGACACGACACGGAGGAGTTTGATTGACAATGGTCTACAGTTCCTTAGCCAATCAGGACACAAGGGGAGGAACACCATGCGCGTTCAAGAAAATTGCACACAAAAAAATTTGTGAAACAGCGAGACCGCAAAAGGGGAACCGTGATATAGTGAGGGACGACTGTACAGAGCAATGGGCCTGTGCTGGTGGTGATGACAAAATGGCGATTTAAGCGGTTAAAGACTGCTCAAACAATCACTCCAAATACAACTTTGGGTGGGTAAATGGTGAGGCGAAACAACTATCAACTAACATCTAAAAGGTTTATTTTGTATAATAGTTCTGCTTTAAGATGTAATTCTCTCATTGATAATTACTGCATGATCACTAAAGTCCCACAGAAAGAGGTCCACTGACTAAAATACTAGGTGACCAGGTTATACAAACAAAACCCTTTTTCAGCAGAATCTCACAGGAGTCTCTGTAACAGATGAGTTGTATTTTTGGTGTATTAGCTGTCACAAAAGCCACTCTCAGCTCAACGTCACTGTATAATATAATATCTCACCTCTTTGTAAATCCAGTGAATGCGAGTATTTTAAAATGGCTGCCGCTGCTGAGTGTCTGTATCGGGTTCAGTGTGTTCAAAGCTCTTGTCAGCATGTAATCAAAGTGATGGGGTGCAGAGTTACAGGAAGCACAGAGGGACAAACAAGTGCATTTGATTTATAATAATGCTCTGCCGTTTTTGACATCGGTGTCTATAAATTACTGGAGAAGCTGCGGGACGTTGTGGAGTATTTGAACGGTGCATAAGAGGTTTAGAGTAAAAGACTTTTGGAACGTATTAGTTTAGATGGCTTTTGTTGATACAGTAAACATAATTAAATATTTATAATGTTACTGTGAATCTCTGTTTTAAAATTCACTTTTGTTGACTTTCCACATGATTCGGAACAATTTCATAGTTTATTTTTGTTCGCTTTATTTTATGGAAATGTTTAGCGCAATAGATATAATCATGATCCCTAAAAATCACTTTGCACACTTGGATTAAAAATACCAACAGCCACAATTGTTTACCTGAGTAATGCTTGATTCGTAATCCCTATATGATATATTTTCTTATTCTTAATTGTTAAAGGGCCCATATTATGCTATTTTCTAATCTATGTTATAATGTTGTTTCTCATCAACATATCCAGAGTTTTGTTTTGTTTCATTCGCACATAAATCCTGCATATTGAGGCTGAGTTCTTCTCCCAAACAGAAAACACTCTGTTCCACCTTGTGATGTCAAATGGTAATACAGGAAGTTAAAATCCACACACCTCCACTATCATCATTTGGATAAGCCTTGGAATTGCCCTTTTCTACAAAACAAAAGTAAAAAGTTAGCCTGATTCATCAGCCGATTTCATTTCATAGAAACCATCTGACCTTGCAACATTAGAATTTGTTCACTCGACGACAGGCAGGTACTTTTTTTTCCAATCATTGCTATTTGGTCGTGATGTATGTAATGTGCTGCTAACGGGGCTAACTGGTATATTAAGCTTTTTCCAAATCCCGTAGGAGGAAGGGCAATAACATCTTTCCCCTTGATAAAATTCACCAAACATTCTCTTTGTTCTGGCTTTAAATCCTCGATCTCGGGAATCGTTGCCAACACAGAACGTATGGCTCTTCGCTGATTGGCTGGTATCCGAACACTTCCAGGGTTTTTGCAAACTGTCTAGTGTATTCCGATTCCATTCCTGGTGCCAGCCTGGCTAGTAAAAAGTAGCTTTTAACTTGAAAACTACCACTGCATGACATCACAAGGTGCAACAGAGCATTCTGAGCTTTCGATTTGTAGGCAGCCTAAACACGTGTGAATGAAACAAAACACAACTCCAGGTACGTTTTTGAGGACGTAACAACATTTGAACATGACTTAAAACTGACAGGAGTCAATTTTGTGTAATATAAAAAAGTGTATTACAGTGTCCTGCATTTTGTAGACTCCTAGTTTTATCAGGGCGCTCTGGCAATGGTAAAAATAAGATGCTAAGATATCATTCCACATCATCTCACTGGCTGCTACTTTATGATGAGGTTCTAATGAAGAGACAAAGCCATAAACAGCCCTCTGTTGATTGGCCCAGTAATAATAAAGTAAATGGGCATATGCACTGTGATGATACTGCCAGGTGGTCCCGCTATTACTTGTAGGGCATAGTAAAAATTAAACAGAGATCTAGTCATTAGAGGCAAACAAGATATTGTAGAGGAGTATATATTTCATAAAACTGCAGTTTATGAGTTTAAAAGTGTATGTGAAGAGAGGCTTTAAGTAGGGGACATTGTGTTTTTTGATTTCTTCATACAGTTATTTATTTGATTTACTGAAACTCTTACTTCATTAAACGTCCTGTATAACACAAAATGTATTCTTGTGAGCTTTAAGCCATGTTATAATGTTGTTAACTTACCAAAAACGTACATGAAGTTGAACTGAATGAAAAAATCACCATAAAAACAGATTTAGCTGGAACTACAACAGGAGAGAAACAGGGCCGTGAATGCTCATACTGATCACAGGCCCCTGAAAACGTGTTGTTTAAATCCATTGTGTATTTATCATTGAGTTTTCAATCGTAAATCGTACTTGCCGGTGTTCGCTAATGTGTGCATTGTGTCTCCATGGTAACAAAGATGATAGTTCAAGCGCAATTTAACTGATATACCATATTTTACAAACAATCACCCCACAATTGTCATCTCCCCTTGCACTGTGGTCATTGTGCAGCAGCATCCATTGCAAAAATTAGATGTATTTTCTTCAGTCTGGGCCAAATATATCTTCCTGCCACTTCTATTCTCCCCTCACGTCCCATTTATCCAAGCAGCCCGCCTTAATTTGTCATCTAATCGTCACAGCTTGTTTATGGGCCCTGTGCCTTTAGACGCTCTGCATTCATCTTTTCGGTCCTGGGTTTCCGTCATTCTTCCAGCCGTTACTTGTCCTCCAGGCCCAAAGTCGATGGCGTCGCGTTCAAACACATTTTCCCCTTGAGCTGTTTCTGTCCATCCATCTCTCCATCTGCTCCACGGCCGCAGACTCGTCCCCGATGCCATATTTGTTACTCAGTTTTCCTCAAAACCGAGAAGAATGAATGTCTGTTTTAGTGCGGTCTCTTCCACAAATCTGGTGTCCACATTTTCTTGTTCCTCAAATGGGTTTGTGCCTAGAAAAAAAGCACAAGATTTTGTTCAGGGAATAAAGTCAAAAATGTTTATTGAGAAAATCTAAGTATATATTTAAGAGTTCAATATTTTCTCAATTACAGAAGGTTCTTGGTTTGTCTACAGGCACAATTTTGAGCACTTTTCAACTTTCAAAAGATAGAATATTTAGTACTGAATTGTTAATTGCCATGGCACTAGTGCAAATTTCAGAAACTCATGGATAGTAGTGTTGTCATGATACTAAAATTTCAAACTCGATATTAAGAAATAGACTTGAGGCTCATACCAATTTTGATACCACAATGATAATATACAATTTTTTTTTTTTAGACAAAAGACAATAGAATATGATCTTTAACATTAAATATTAGTACTTTCTTTAATATTACGATGTTGCCGTATGTCTGCGTAATCCCTCGGTGGTCCAGGTAGGTTCCAGAGTGGTCCATAGGCATATACCATATTTTTTTAACTATAATTTGCACTTTTTGTTATGGTTTGGGTGGTCCTAGGACTTATATTCCGGTGTGACTTATATATTAAAATTTTGACACTGACAGCTGCAAGAGGGCGCTCTAGGCTTTTGTGCCAGTATCTGCTGCTCCTATTACTCCTGTATCACTGTCACTTCGCTCTACTGCCCATGTCTCCTGCATGTGTCCTGCTGCAAATAGTGAAATGGTCAGCCGAAAATGGTAATTGAGCAGCAGAAAGAAAGTTTGTAGTGAGCGCGAAACTTGTGAGGGACTGGCGGAACGTGGGGATGGAGAATACAGCTTCACAGCAGCCCGGAGGATGCACCATGCAACTTTGCTGGGAGTCATTGGATGGATCGACAAAGCCTGGACTTCAGTGACAACAAAAACCATCTTGTCGGGAATCAGAAAGGCTGGAATAATTCTTACTGGAACTGATACTGAGTCTGACGACAGCTATGTAGAAGAGGTAGCAGCGCTCTGTTTACCTCTGCAGGTTGCTCAGAAGTGACGCCAAGGATGAAGAATTCAATGGATTTAGTGATTTGGAGTGAGATTGAGAGATTAGTAAACTTGTTCTGTTCTGTTGTTTATGCTATAGTTATCTGAAGAACAGTTCATATGTGACATTATCAGCCTGTTCTATTCTATTATTATTACTGTAACTTGCCTTTCAAGTCGAAATGTCAGTTCCTGGTCTCTGATTTTATAAAATACATTTCCCCCAAAAAGTGCGATTTATAGTCCAGTGAGATTGTTTTTACTTCTTCATTACGCATTTTTTGGCTGGTGCAACTTATACTCCGGGGCAATTTATAATCCGAAAAATATGATACTAGTCTAAGTGCTCTTATATTTGTTCTGATACAGACCAAGATCATGGTAAAACTATTCAGGAAAGGTTTATTTATGTCCTGTGATTTTTTTAGTATCAATACCTGCTCAGATGAATGTCTAGTTTCGATACTAGTTTTAGTATTGATTAGTATCTGATTTTTTAAGTTTTTACTTTGCGTTTGACAACCCTAATGAACAATTTGTTCAATAGCGTAATTTATTTATTTACAATTATGTTTAATCAGGGATCTGTTTTTGATTAACTGTGTGATGAATTCTTTAAGAGTTTGGACTAAAAATATAGTGGTGATGTGGAGCTAGTAGAAACACCATTCTTAGAAACTTATTTAAAGTGAACTCTGTTACTTTCACTTTTAAGTAGCAGTCCTTGAACGCATATTTTGACTATTTTTCCATCCCTGAAAACAGAATCTTGTTTTATCGATGAAACAACAAACAGAATTTTTATTCCTAGACATTTTCCCAAACTTGTTCTAAATCTCTGTAGTAATCCCTGTGGGTGCGCATGTATCCGAACATCTAAAAACACAAAGTTCAGTCTTGCCTTCACACACAGGACCGTACCTTGTTCCTCGATATCAGAGAGCATCTTTGCCAGGTAGGTGAGAGGGAGGAACTCGGGTCTGAAGCCAGGCCTCTCTCTGCCGCTCAGTGCAAATCCCTGAGGACCACAGAAACGCTGCATATCACAATGAATCCTCAAGGATGTACTCCATCAAGACAAATCTACAGCAAAACCCCCATAACTATTCACCCTAGCTCCACTTTTAATACACTTCCAGCACTTAGGCGACTTTGCAGGAACTTTTCACAGCTATTTATACTTGATTATGGTTCTCGTCACATACTCTGGTTTCTGCGACGATACGCTCACAGAAACAATGTCCTATAAAGAAAATGTACTGCTTTTGGTACACTGTAAAGGTCACTGTGTTTGTGTCTAACAAAGAGCTTTCATTGCAGCACATCTCTTGCTAATTAGTGCTCAGTGATTTGCTTAAAATTCAACATTTGTCAACATTTTCTCACATAAGTTACTGAAATGTCATATTTAATTCCCAACAACTAAATAACATACAATTACGTTAGTTCAGTGCCACAGCCATTTTCATTAGCGTTTTGTATTATAATATTCACTCTGTTATTGCATAAAAACAATCATCTAAATTTAAATTCACTTGAGACCTATCTTGAGGTTAAATTGTTGTTTTGCTGCAGTAACAACATGAACATCATTGTCCAATCCATCTCATTTAATTGCATCGTTTTCAATTTGTAGAAAAAAAATATAATCTTAGAACAATACTTGAATACTTGAACTTTCATTATTGTTTTTGTCCATCTCAGATCCTGTTGTTTTATGAGCAAATGTTACTCTCAGAAATGTAAAAAAACAGCAATATGAGCATAGACTGTGTAAGGAAGTGGTCTAGCATTCAGTTCCAGTCAAATGAAGCTCACGAGGCAAGCAGTTACAAGAGCAAATTTGGAGCGAGTTTCATATTAGTAACACAAATTTATTCACACACAAAACACCAAAATAAAAACATCAGGATCATGTGGAGCGGGTTAATATGGACATTTTAAGACCAAAATGACAAAGCTCACTGCAGCTGTTAGAGAGAGGGGAGACGACTTTCCAATGTAAAGTCAATTGGAAAAAGAGTTGATGGAGCCAGAAGCGACCCCATGAACACTTCCTATTTGTAACACAAATGCTAGTGGGTTAGCAATGTCCATTTATTCACTCTATGGATGTGAGATAAGACACAATATTCAGATGCAAAAATACTGTACTTTAAAATATGAATACTATTATTATGTAGTGATTTTGGGTAACACTATATAATAACTACACCTTATTTAGCCTTAATAAAGCATGAACAAAGGCTTAGTTAATAATGAACAAAGACTTAATTAATAATGATTCACGCTTAGTAACTACTTAATTACTACCTTAATTCGCACTTGCACTTAATTTGCCTGTTCTGTAAATAGTTACTCATAATTATTTCATACTTAATTACTCATGGACTAACCATTTGAGCATTTATTAATCATTTGTAAGCTATGAGAGAATGATTTACTAATAATGCAATGCAATATTAATTCAGGCTGTTAGTTAAGTCTTCTTGAGAGCTTTTCTAAACTGAAGACAAATTATGCTTTATTAAGCATTTACTAAGCGTGAATTGTTATTAATTAAATCTTTGTTCATTATTAATTAAGTCTTTGTTCATGCTTTATTAAGGCTAAGTGAGGTGTAGTTATTATAAAGTGTTACAGTGATTTTGTAATATATTTGGATAAAGTTGTCTGTATTGTGAGGTGTATACCGTATTTTTTGCACTATAAGGCACAATTAAAATCCTTATAATGCGCCTTATAATCTGGGACGCCTTATATATTAATTGTGGTTGTGCATACTGACCTTGAACCGATTTTATGTGGTACATGGTGCTCAAAAATCTGTCAGAATGTTTTAGTACAACTTTGAAAAGCTACAAAGCCGCACCGCTTGATGGATTGTCGGAGCATTATGGCTACCGTAGTCAGAAGCCTCGTGGAGCAAGTCTGAACACATTGGTGCACAAGGAGCCAACAGTTTTTTTCAGTGCTTATAGTTTATGCAAATTAGCCATGTGGTTTTAAGTTTGGTTTCTGTAAAACGTAAATAAATGTGGCAAAGCTGAATTAAACACATTATTACTCAATGTATATTTGAGTCCTCCTCGTAGGAAATGAAAATACACATACACATTCACCAAGACAACGCCGGGCAAGTTACGCCGCGATCTATCAATGGATCGTGGCTGCCTGGGCTAAGGGATGAGTCTCAAGAGTCGTCCGTTTCACTTAATGCACCTTATAATCCCATGCACCTTATAGTTATAATACGGTATATTGTACTGTAATTTCCCTCACACTTCCCAGTCCTCGTCAGAAGGTTCACTTGATTTGACTTTATAATTATATTGATCATAAAGAGTGAGCTACTGTACTGTCTCGATAGGGCAATAGCATTATTACTTACTCTTATGCATTTTAATCATTTTTTTCTTATACATTACAGCATGTGTAGGTAATTTACATTTAGTTCCTTGTAAACTGTAATATTGATTTAAACTGACTTAATAATAGAAAAAGGTTAATTCCAGAAGTGATTCTCTTCTGTGGACCCTGCCTCTTCATCGTGCCATTTCACCAGAGCAAGGAGCAGATTTTCTTTTATGGCATGTTTAATTAAAAAAAATGATCATGCAACATTTTTGAACATTTGTGTGTGACCTAGAGTCTAACTTTTCCGAAGCCTTGAATGCAGAAGAAGACAGAAGACAGATTACTCAAACATGCATGAATCAATACAATGTTGATTTATATAAAGTGAAAAGATTATACAGGATAATTTTGCGTAGTGTTTTAAGTGTACATTCTGTGTGTATTGTAAGGGTGCTTTCTTACCTTTGTTTTGTTGTGTTTCTCCAGCAGAGTGTGAACATAGTCTCTGGATATTGAGGCCGAGGTGATGGGGTGATCCCACGTGTGAACGATGGTCTGCTTCATGGGCTGAGAGAGAGAGAGAGAGAGGGGGAGAGAGACAGGAAGAGAGGGAGAGAAAGAGACACAGAGGGGGAGAAAGAGAGAGAGAGAGAGAGAGAGAGAGAGAAGAGAAGTAAGAGAGAGAGAGAGAGAGAGAGACAGAGAGAGAGAGAGAGAGAGAGAGAGACGAGAGAGACGAGAGACAGAGAGAGAGAGAGAGAGAGACGAGAGAGAGAGAGAGAGAGAGAGAGAGAGAGAGAGAGAGAGGGAGAGGGAGAGAGAGACGGGGGGGCAGGGAGAGAGAGGAGAAGAGAGAGAGACAGAGTAAGAGAGGGAGAAGAGAGAGAGGGAGACAGACAGACAGAGAGAGGAAGAGAGAGACAGAGAGAAAAAGAGGGACAGAGAGAGAGGAAGAAACACAGGGAGAGAGACAGACATAGAGAGGAAGAGGCAGAGAGAGAAAGGAAGATAGAGAGGGAAAATAAGAGAGATGAGAGGGACAAGACAGAGAGAGAAAGGGGGTGCAAAAGAGGGAAAGGAGGGGGCAGAGAGAGAGAAACAGAGAGAAATAGAGATACAAAGAGAGAAAAACAGGTAGAGAGAGAGAGAGAGAGAGAAAAAGTGAGAGAAAGAGGGAGAGAGATATGATCATCTCTTCACGCGCAGCCAAGCTCAACACTGAAACAACGTTATGGAGATGACTGCTAATGACAGCCCGCTGGTAAAGGCCCGCTCAGTGTGGTGAGGATGCACTGTGCTCCTGTGAATAATGCAGTCGGTGGGTTCACGCAACTTCACAACATTCAAACAGGCCCATGTTGAAAACCAAGCTAGATGGCAGGTCTCTACACTGGAATTTGCCTTGTAGATTTGTTGATCTGGTTTATAGGCCACGATACTTACTACAGAGACTTGTCGTTCCATGTATGACAGCTGGAACAATATACTGTAATTTGGGGTTTAATATTTATGGTGGGCACTTTTTCTTGCAATAGTGGGGGGATTTTTTTATTTTTTTATGTTATAATGTAATATCTGAGCTGTAGAGGAGAATAAACAACTTCAATCCTTCAACATGTATATTATGGGTTCATAATTTTACTATTCTTATTTGTCAAAGCTTGTCTATGACCTATTTTTCTGCTATTTGTGTTGATTGTAACTGTAAGAAATTCATTCTTAAAGGTGCATTGAGGAACTTTTCTGGTGGAGGAGCCGTCAAATGCTTTTCTCCGTGTAGATATGATTGCTTTGTCTGGAATGTTTCGCAGTGTGGCATTAAACCTTTCTATCTTCATGGAGACCAAACTAGACCAAGCCCTGCTCACAGTTTTGCCAGGTATTTTATAGAGCTACAAAACCTACCTGTAATTGAATGACTGTAAAGTAAAGCCGTTTAATGTCATTCTGTGGAACATTCCAGGTAGCGCAATGACACATCCGTAGAAACAAAGCAGGTGACGGACCTCCAACCAAAAAGTTACATAGTGCACCTTTAAATAAAGTTCAATGTCACTGAGTAATTTAAGGAAAATTGCTTCTTTTCAACCACATAAGGGTCATGTTCTGTCAAAATGTCTTTTTTCTTTAAATAATATAATGGGAAATAATTCAGTGTGTGTTGTTTTTTAAATAAATGTACAATGACTTTATTTTTAACATCAGAACCCAAAAGTTATGCACTCAATACGTTTGACAGGGATTATCTATGACCCCTCATTTAGCTTCATTAAATCTGCTCAGGTTGTACTTAGGTCATTCTTGAATAAATGGTAATGTCATGAAATATTAAACCTTCCCCATGAAAATGTCAAGTTGTTAAAGAGACATTTACTTAAATTGCCCTTTTCATTGAAGGCATCTTAAGTGATATGAATATTTTCCATTATAAAAGGTTTCATTCTGCACTCATCTGACTTGTTCTTTAACCACACATTTCAGTATGATTTCTTAACATCAGGATGTGTATTACATGTTCTGGGGATATTGCAGTATAGTCACAGTGCTTTCAAAACCAACAGTTTCCTTCTTGTTTTGAGAATAAGGCACCTTTATTATAAAAAATAAGCTCAGCCGATATTTTGGGGCAGATATATGGGGTCGATTTTGATTATTTTCCCCAAATTATATTATATGAATGTTCCCCAAAAACTTTTGTCCAGTTGACAGAATTAAATTTCTCACTTGCCATCCCAAATTATGTAATTAAAATGTACTGCTGTGTAGCTGTGTCGTCACATTTCGTGCGGTGATCTCTTTGCAATAAAGTGTCCAAATACAGCTTCATATATTTTTTTTCCGCAGTAGGTCGGCCCAAGCAAAGTGAGCTGGAAAGTGCAAATATCAGCCAACAGATATATCAGCTTATATCTAATAGTATGCTATTATTAACAGTATTTAATAAAATACATGAAATGTCACTAGATTGTAATAATATGTTTTTACATTTTTGGGGACTATTTTTTCTGTACTAATTTTTTCCTTTTAAGAGAAACTCAAACTTGTACACACACGTTCGCAGTTGCACATATCACATTAATACTGAGACTAAACTAGGACTACATCTGAAACTAAACCCGGAATCAAATCTGGACGGAACCAAGACAAATATGAATACAACCACTGATGGATGCTTTCAAATTCACTCACTACAAGCGACTAGTTCTTTCCCAAGGTTACTGTAATAAAAAAAGCTTTCTTGCCACAGCCACCTCTATAGTTATTTCAAATGATTACGCTTACAGGGCCACCACACAAACAAATAGAGAAAAATCCAGTTTTTAGTTTTTAGTGAAGGTTCTGGGCCACTACTGTTTATTGTACCAGATAAAAGTGAGCTGCTGCCAAATCCAGCAAACAAAAGGCTAATGGGCAGAAGCTGAAAAGGCTAAAACTCTTCAGATCTCACTGTGAACAAAACAAACACACTCCTCTCACATACAAGACTGAAGAGGCAGGTTGGACAAAATACAATATTTATGGCAAAACTATTGAATTATATTTTTGCAATCTTACTATCTTTTGCTTTAGTGGCTTAGGATAATTCAGCTTTTTGAGTATCACTAGGTTTAAACCCAGACTTTAATAGGACTAAACTTGGTCTAAAATGTGTCACCATGAGTCAGAAACTTGCTTTTTACCATTTCCTTGTGTTGTACTAACTTAAACTTATTTGTATGTGGTATTTGTTTTGTTCCCTGCCTTAGGCCTGCAAATGTAAATTAGCTTGGTAGTTATAATTGTATTTACATTTACATTTGTTTAATACAGATGCTCATTAATGCGCATTGTCCTTACCAAAGAAATAACTTAAATACACTACCAGTCAAAAGTTTGGACACACTTTTTCATGTATTTTCTCATTTATTTCCACAATTATTGACATTGTAGATTCTCACTGAAAGCATCAAAAATATGAATTAATACATATGGAATGTAGCACACCAAAAAATAAACTCAAAATAACCTCAAACTTGTTGCTTTGAAACCTGGTTTGCACTTTTAGCATTTCTTGACCCTGACATGGCTCAGCTGTGAAGTGAAAATCATTTCAGGAGACTTGATCAAGAAGATCAATGAGATGAGGCCAAGGCTTTGCAGTGCTGTAAAGGGTGACTACTTTAAGGAATTTTATTGAAAAATATATATTTTAAAAATATTTATTTGAGTTATCTCACTTTTTTTCTTTGCTACATGCTACAATTCCAGACATCTCGCCTCATATATTTGATGTCCATGTAAAAAAAACACACTGAATGAAACTTTTGGCTGGCAGTGTACATAAGACTAAACCTAAAGAATAATTAAACCTAAGAATGATTGACCTAAAGAAGAACAAATTTTTTTAGGAGCGCAGAAGGCTAATCCAGACCAAACTAGCTCTAAATGAGTCCCCGGGTGCAGCACAGCTCCTGACAGTTTGCTCGAAGACTGGGTTAATGGTTGGGTCAAATGCAGATGATGATGAACCAAACATAACTCACATTCAAGGACATTTCTGAACACGTATTTGTCTGTCTTCTTACAAAGTAGCTCTTTACAATAACATTCTTACAGCAAAATAGCTTTAATTAAAGCCACCAGCAGAGATAATGGTCCTCACCCTGGTGCGTAAGCTGCACCCACGTGAGCACCCAGCATGCTATTGTCCCTTCCCAACAGCTGCCCACAGCGATCCACAGATCCTCCAACAGAAAAATTACACAAATTGTTTTTTTTTATTTTAATTTTTTTTTATATTTGCACCCCTGCTGATCAACCGTGAAAAATGCCCCATGTCTGTAATACATTTTTTTATTGCTGGTAGTCATTCATAGATTTATTTAATCCCCCAATTTGGTGCAAGTCCGTAATGTTGACGTTTCATGTCTATGCTAGGGGGCGCTACAGTTTACACTTGTCATACGGTTTATAGTATTTTATATTCAGGCTGAGATCTGCCTCAGTGACTCAAAATTCAGCACGATCTTGTCTTATTGTTCATTATAATTGTTCTGAATTTTGTTTGCCTTCACCAGACTTTGCTTGTCCCGCCTCCCATAGGGGTCCAATTCTAGGCTGCGCTGTTGAGTCTGGTCACTTTGTGTATTGTCACAATCCGATACCTGGTTTGGGGACTTTTCGTCGACCTCAAAATTGTGATCGTTTGCGAGGAAAAATAACAAAGAAAAAGAAACGGGGGAAAAACAGGTATCACCAGTTACTCTGTTACTGGATCAGGCCAATAATGCATGTACTTAAATAGCACCTAATACTGCACTCTTCATTCAGTCCACACTTGAAAGTAAGCTACTACTTTAGTCGCAGCTGTCCTGGGGCAAACTGACAAAAACAAGCCTGCCAAGTTGTGCCATCAGCCCCTCAGACTACCACCAATCACACACACACACACACTATATTCATACTAGGATACTGCAATGTGGGTGAACTGTCTTGCCTAAGGACACAACAACAATATGCACTAGAGCCTCTGCTGTTCCACTGTGGCACGTGGTATTCCTAGCGGTCTCACATCCAAGCACTAACCAGGCCCAACCCTGCTCGGCTTCAAAGATCAAATGAGACTGAACATTCTCAAGCTTGTGTGGCTGCCAACTTCTACTTTTGTAAATGGGACTGATATTTCAACTCTAACACATTGTTTGTGTGATTATTTTATGGTCCAGTGTTAATAAATTTACCAAATGGGAACTACCAGTCCATCATAAAATAACTTTAAACAGTATGGTTTGTATGTAACACACTGTTTCTATGGTTATTTTATGATGCATAGTAAATAAAAACTACTCAGGTCTACAACTACTTCTACTTCTAAATAAAGTACTACCACTACATGCAGTAACAGTACAGTAACATATGCCTAGAAACAGTGACTAGTAGCTCCAGACCCTCTCCCCGCTGCAGCCAATTACACCAGTGCTCTGTGAGGGCTCCAGGGGGCTACAGGGAGATGAGCCTGAAAATAACTTCAAACTACTAATTGGACCAGTGTGGGGACTTGGGCAAGCTCCAAACTCCACAAATAGATAGCATTATAATAGCATCATATATTGTATAACTGCTGATAGTGTGTGTGCATAGACATCCCAGATCTTGTTTAGGATTTCCCGTGGATGTAAAATGAGCTTGTTTGAACACTGCAGAGGTACCTGAGGTAGTCTCTTGAGGATGCTGAATTTCAGTTTCTCATTGGCGTCACTGTTGTCCAAATCTAGGCAAAAAAAACAACACAAAATAAGCTCAGAAAACACGGTAAAAAACTAAATGTTGTCTTCATTTTGTTTGCTATGGAGTTTGAGACAGAGGTGCTAACTAACTTGTGCAGTCTTGTCTCTAAACTTGCTTCCTGTGAATTCACACCATTCCAGCTGCTTCTGAGAGCTCTCAAAATGCCAAACCTCACATCATGGCAGTGTAAGACGCAATATGCACCAGTGTAAAACATAAGCATAATTTAATTTAATCTTCGCCAACACATAATAATAATTGGTATCTGTAGAATTTTGAGAACCCAAAGGAGACCCACCTAGACAAAGGCAGAAAAAGTTAACTTTACAAAAAAGGGCCTGAATTGAAGCCTGTGAAAAAGTGAGCATCAGTACATTGAATATACCTGGAGGATGTGATAACCTACCCCAAACAATATACATTATTAATGGATAGAAAAATAGATTTAAAGGTCCTACATTACGCCCAATTGACTCTTGTGAGTTTTAAGCCATGTAATAGCATTGTTGCCTCATCAAACACAGACTTTGAGTTGTGTTTTGTTTCATTCACACACGTTTGAGTAACCCTTATTATTAGTCTACGTCTCAGAAGCTCAAAATGCTCTGTTTCACCTAATGTCATGAAGTAGTAGTTTTAGAAGTTAACAGATACTTTTTTTTTACGACCCAGCACGCTAGGGCCAGAGAAATAACAAAAACCAAGGTGGAAAATGGTATAAATTAAAGGTTGTATGGAGGATTTTTTTTTGTTTCAAGTTGTCAATGATAGCATTATAGAGATGCAGTAGCCTTGTAATTATGATGACCAAAAAAAAGAGAATAAAAATTCATCAACTCTGGACGTGGTGGGGCTAAACATTTTCCAATAGATAACGACACTGCCTCGTTATCTGTTAGCTGACAGGCTGTCAATCAATCTCCCTACGTTTCTAGCGTAACTGACTTGCCTGCGCGCCGCCGGTACGTGGTTTACGTCCGCCTGTCACGCAGTCCACAGACGCAAGACGCACAGACGCTGTTTACTCCACCAACGCAACAGTTCTTAGCGGCTTTTTTTGACCTATATCTTCCTCGCAGTTAGCACAAAGTTTGTTGCAATGGCAGACAAGAATCCAGGAGCAGTTAGCCGCAAAAAGAAAGTCCGTTTTTGAGGTCGCTGAAAGAAGAAGACAAGGGGAAAAGCAGCGAAGCCAAACTAAGGTGATTCTTATAGATTCATTCCAGCGATGGCGCGACTGAAGCAGACGCAGGGTCTAAAGACTGACGCATTGGTCGCCAAATTACTCCTGGACAGGTCACTTCTGCTTATTATGAAAACGTACTTTATTTCCAAGAGCTAGACAAACGTTTTTCAGGACACGAAAGCGGTATCCTATGTCTGAAAACATAATTTTCAAGGCAAAGAAAGAGTCCGCTTGCTGCTGCGTGTTGTAGCTAGTTCATTCGCACGGAATCTCCTGCGCACCCTTCTCTGCACCCCTTTCCTGCTCCTGTCCCCGCTGCCCGATCCGCTCTTCCCCCTGCTCCTCACTTCTCCGGGCACGGAATCTCCGCGCACCGCTCCCCTCTCCTCTCTCCTCTTCCTGCTCCCTGCTCCACTCTTCTCCCTGCTCCTCACTTCTCGTCCGCGCACAAAATGTCCGCGCACCCCGCTCCCCCCGCTCCTCACTTCTCCGCCTTGCCTAACCAACACTGTAGTTAGTTGTTTACAAGTCATGTGCAGCGCACCAGCTGTAAACAAACCTGTTTCTGGCGTAAGGAGGAGGCGGGAGGAGGCGTTTCTACGTAGGGAGCTGTAGGGGAGGGGGGGTGGTTTCACGCATGCGCAACATTTGAAAAAGGACAAACAGTCGCTGGATTTCTCGTTCCTTGGAAAATCCTCTATACAACCTTTAAGTAATAATTGAATTAACAGGAATGTAAATTAAACAAAAGGGATCTAAAATATTTACACAAAGTAACCTAAACTAAGAAACAAAATAACAGGATTAACATATAACAAGTTTTGTGTGGGTCACGTAGATCTATACAAAAACGAGTGACTAAACAACACATAAAACAAAACTAAATCGTGAGTGTCCCATAAACCCACAAACAGAATTAAGTGACAAAAAAAGGAAACAAAACAGAACTACACTGAACTAATGGAAACCAAGTGTCTCACCACACACAAAGTCAGACACGTAGGAGCATAAAGAAAGACACAACGGAGACATGGACACAAAATGCCTGCAGTGATTTTGTGTCCCTGTATCACACCCAAAATAAGGTAAAGAACTGGAGACCTGAGGCTGTGAAACATTTTACATTTTGTTTAGTAGATATTGGCAATTGAAGGGCTGAAATGATCCAAATTCTTCTAATGAAAGTTCATGGAGTTAAAAAACACAGTGGAGAACTCCCTGTATTACTGCATGACATCACAAGGTGGAACGGAGTAAGCCTAAACTTGCAGGATTTGTGCGTTAAACAAAACACAACACCAAGTATATTTTTGAGGAACAGCATTATAACAGAGACAGAAAAGAGCGTAATATCGGCAAATCAATGTAGCATATAGTTTAATATTATGTAACAGACCTAATGTATTTAATAGGCACCGCGTTACTGACTGTTATCGGACTGGCTCCAAACACACTTGCTAATATTTAGTCTAGATTCACGACTGAATTGTGAAGTGACGCACGCTCCAGCGCATTTTAAATCAACAAAACACCCACACTTTAAAGTCTAAAGGCATTTTAACAAAAAAAAGAAAAAAATCCATCTTCCTCTATAATTGTCCCGTTCATGAGAGACTGACCAAGCGTCTGTAAATATTTTGGTCCTGTTTCTATTTGGCTAGCAGCGATGTTTAGCTTGTGGACAATAGCTTCTGTCCGTGTATTAAATAAACACACTTGTATATTAACATAAGCTGTTAATGTTGTTGACAGTCTTTAAGCTTTGAAAACCCTGTGCGTAGAAAGTCAGGGGAGTAGACAGTTGAGGCTTGCTTTAAACGTGCAGCAGTGACATGTCCCACAGCGCGGCTTTAATCTCCCCAGAGCTGCAAAGTGGGTTATAAAATGTCGTGTAACTACCACATTTTTGACAGTGCAAAGCGACAGATCTGCTGCAGTAATAGTCCTGGATTCAAGACAGAAGCAAGTCATCAAATACAGACTTCACCGTGATCACACTTTCCTGGTTTGGTTCTCGTTTACATTTAAAGGTCTTATATTGCACAAAATTGACTCTTGTGCGCTTGTGTAGTTCCAGGTTTAGTTCCCAGTTAGTTCCTGGTTTAGTTTCAGGTTTAGTTCCTGGTTGAGTTCCTTGCTTAGTTCCAGGTTTAGTTCCCAGTTTAGTTCCCAATTTAATTCCCGGTTTTGTTCCAAGTTTAGGTCCTGGCTGAGTTCCAGGTTGAGTTCCCTGCTTAGTTCCAGGTTTAGTTCCTGGATTAGTTCCAGGATTAGTTCCTGGTTTAGTTCCCAGTTTAATTTCCGGTTTAGCTCCAAATTTAATTCCCGGTTTAGTTCCAAGTTTAGTTCCTGGTTGAGTTCCAGGTTGAGTTCCCTGCTTAGTTCCAGGTTTAGTTCCCGGTTTAGTTCCTGGTTTAGTTCCAGGATTAGTTCCCGGTTTAGTTTCCAGTTTAATTCCCGGTTTAGTTTCAGGTTTAGTTCCTGGTTTAGTTCCAGGATTAGTTCCCGGTTTAGTTCCCGGTTTAGTTCCAGATTTAATTCCTGATTTAGTTCCAGGTTTAGTTCCTGGTTAAGTTCCTGGTTTAGTCCCCGGTTTAGCTCCAGATTTAATTCCCGGTTTAGTTCCAAGTTTAGTTCCTGGTTGTGTTCCAGGTTGAGCTCCCTGCTTAGTTCCAGGTTTAGTTCCCGGTTTAGTTCCTGGTTTAGTTCCAGGATTAGTTCCCGGTTTAGCTCCAGATTTAATTCCCGGTTTAGTTCCAGGTTTAGTTCCTGGTTGAGTTCCTGGTTGAGTTCCCTGCTTAGTTCCAGGTTTAGTCCCCGGTTTAGTTCCCAGTTTAATTCCCAGTTTAGTTCCAAGTTTAGTTCCTGGCTGAGTTCCAGGTTGAGTTCCCTGCTTAGTTCCAGGTTTAGTTCCCGGTTTAGTTCCTGGATTAGTTCCAGGATTAGTTCCTGGTTTAGTTCCCAGTTTAATTCCCGGTTTAGCTCCAGATTTAATTCCCGGTTTAGTTCCAAGTTTAGTTCCTGGTTGAGTTCCAGGTTGAGTTCCCTGCTTAGTTCCAGGTTTAGTTCCCGGTTTAGTTCCTGGTTTAGTTCCAGGATTAGTTCCCGGTTTAGTTCCCAGTTTAATTCCCGGTTTAGTTCCAGGTTTAGTTCCCGGTTTAGTTCCCGGTTTAGTTCCTGGTTTAGTTCCAGGATTAGTTCCCGGTTTAGTTCCAGGTTTAGTTCCTGGTTAAGTTCCTGGTTTAGTCCCCGGTTTAGCTCCAGATTTAATTCCCGGTTTAGTTCCAAGTTTAGTTCCTGGTTGAGTTCCAGGTTGAGTTCCCTGCTTAGTTCCAGGTTTAGTTCCCGGTTTAGTTCCTGGTTTAGTTCCTGGTTTAGTTCCTGGTTTAGTTCCAGGATTAGTTCCCGGTTTAGCTCCAGATTTAATTCCCGGTTTAGTTCCAGGTTTAGTTCCTGGTTGAGTTCCTGGTTTAGTCCCCTGTTTAATTCCTGGTTTAGGTCCAGATTTAATTCCTGATTTAGTTCCAGGTTTAGTTCCTGGTTAAGTTCCTGGTTTAGTCCCCGGTTTAGTCCCTGGTTTAGTTCCTGGTTTAGTAGCGGTTTAGTTCCCGGTTTAGTCCCCGATTTAGTCCCCGATTTATTTCCTGGTTTAGTTCCAGGTTTAGTTGCAGATTTAATTCCTGGTTTAGTTCTCAGTTTAGTTCCAGGTTTAGTTCCAGGTTTAGTTCCTGGTTTAGTTCCAGGTTTATGCACAGTTTAGTTAGAATTTGACTTGTGAATGAAAGAAAACACAACTGCAGGTATGTTTGTGATGAGGAAACAACATTATAAAATAAATGAGAAAATAGATTATTATGGGCCCTTTAATTATGAATTCTTTGAAAGATTTAATTAAGTTTTTTCATGCTTTATTAAGAATGCAAATGGTATAGTTTTTAAGTATTACCAATCATTATAATGAAAGTATAATTACAATCTCACCCGTCATTAGCCGAGCCACGAATGTCTCTGTGAGCTGTAGCAGTTTGTGGTCAATGTACTGGAGGAAACTGTGGTGAGGCAGGCACCGCACAGCCAACACCGCTAACAGGGTATGGAAGCCTGGAAGCCCACAAAGGAAAACATTTTATTATTATTCTGGGGACAAACTTAGCCAAAACTGTTAAATTGTGCTCAGTACCAGGAGGCAGAGGCAGGCACAGGCCAACTGCAGCTTCAAGGATTCGAAACATGAAATGAAACACGGACCAGTCTGCCTCACTGCCCCGCTGGGAACTGCAAAAAACAGAGAAGATTTAAAAAGGGGTATATTATATCTGTGATATGAAACAGTGATGGTAATAACATGTAGAAGATCTTGTTAGGTGTTAGGAAACTAAAGGGGAGTTCATACTTTAGACCAGGAAACTAGATGAGGAAAAACCAGGAGTGGCCCAGGACTAAATCAAGTCTATGTCAGGACTAAACAGAGCTCAGATCATGACCAAACCAGGGAAACTGTGAATGCACCATCTTATTATGCTACCAGATTATTATTTGGACCAACCACTATTTCGGTTGCAGCTCAGTTTTAAAGGAGCCAAATTATGTTGTTTTCTGATCTACGTTATAATGTTTGTTCCTCATCAAAAACACACCTGGAGTTGTGTTTTGTTTCACTGACACATGTTTAACAAGCAAATCCTGCAGATTTAGGATGAGCTGTGTTAAACCATTTGAATCATTTCAGCTCTGGAATTGCCGATCTCTACTAAACAAAATGTAAAAGTTTGTAAACTACTACATGACATCATAAGGTAGAACAGAGCATTTTGAGCTCTGAAGATGTAAATAAAAGGTTACTCAAACATGTGTGAATGAAACAAAACACAACTCCAGGTATATTTTTGAGGCAAGAACATTATAATGTGGTTTAAAGCTCACAAGAGACAATTTTGCATAATATAGGATATGTTTTAAACTGGTTTATGCTTAAATATCTCCATAGCATTATTAAAACAAGCTCCAAATTCATTGAGCTTCATTTGACTGGAGCAGAACGCTATGGGAGATACCGCACTCAATTCAGTTCAATTAAATTCAATTTTATTTTTTTCCACAGTGTCAAATCATAATCCCACAAGGCACACATCCACACGTACATGCAAACATGTACATACAAATAACAAATACATTATGTGTGGCCATAAGTGTCAGCTGTGAAAAAAACATGGACACCCAAGGAAGCTGGGAAGCTCATATATATGGGGTCCACCGTGATTAATTTAGTGGTTTGACATGTTCAGTTTTGGTTAAAGTACAACAACTGACAAGACAATAAATTAATAATAATAATGATAATAGTTAATGTCAAAGGAGGAAAAAAAAAAAACTCCCTTAGTCCACTTCTTTATACAGTCTACGAGTAAAACATTATATAAACAATAGTAATATGTACACACTTACAGACACAAAGCACGTGGGCCCATCTTGTATTTGAGCCAGACGGTCTCCAGCATGTGTCTTATGAGCTCCAGCTAAAAACAGCAGCACATGGGAGAGGTTAGGAAAGACATGCACAATTAGACTGAAATGGCACCCATAGTTCAGCACGATTACACACTTCAAAGACAGGCATCTCCAAAACAGAAACAAAACATAAGGGTGAGTGGTAAATGTGAGATTAGGTGATTCTGCTGTGAAAGGGTGGCATGCAATGAGAAAAGCACAAGTTATTTTCGCAAAGAAGGAGCAGTGGGGAGATTGAAAAAGTCAATAATGTAATAGTAGAGATAGAAGCAATGCCAAAATGTGCAGCAAGCAGCACATATAAAACTCACAAATAAGTAGGGCTGGGTGATGTTCTTTTCAAAAACAATGGATTTCAGCATTGATTTTCTGAACATAAGCTATATTAATCATTACTGTTTAGTCAAATTTCTTCCTCCGAAGTCTGCTCCAGTCCCAGTGGTGGAGGAAGTAGTCAGTTTTATCACTTAAATAAAAGTACAGATGCTGAAGCAAAAAAAATACTCAAGTGAAAGTAAAAATATCACATGAGAAATGTACAAAAAATATTTAAGTACATTTTTAAAAAGTCTTTTGCGCAGATTTTGAGGTCTAATAAAGCTTCATATATAGTGATTTTAATAAAGATTTGTGCAGAATTTTGTTCAAAAGAAAACTGAATCAACTATTTTTTTCTAGCAGTTATTATTTTTTTTGCTCAAACTATGAATGTGTTAAAACTGTGATTTTATATGCATGTTTTCAAATCAAAAAAGCACACATATTAAAGTCCAGGAGCAAAAACATTTGAGAGAAAATAGAAAAAGGTGGACTATGTTTTAGAAATCAAGGCGTTTGGAGTTCCATCCAAAAGTGATTTTCAATTTGAGAGAAGATGAAAATATGAAAAAAAAAAAAAAAAAAAAAACTAATACATGAATCTCACACATGCCAGAACATGTTTCTGAAAGTCTAATCTTCACAGGTAACACGTTTTATTCATATAAAAAGACACACTGGTGTTTGCAGAGGACATTTCACTGCATAAATAATCGCATCCTTTGCATTTTGATGATTGGGACAATTTGAATTTTGATTTGATGTCAATTTTAAGTTATGCAACCCTAACCAGGGCGACCACTTTAATGGTTTTCAACATCTGCATTCATTTCTTGTCTATTAAATACAAATTATAAATAAAAAAGAACAAAATTATGTTGCCCCATCTGTATTGAATATTACTGAGCTATGAAACAGTGTGAGGTCATCTGAAATTCAGCAGTAAAGTAGGACATGTCGCTTTCATAAGAGACTGGCCATTTCTCTTTATTCAGGTCTACTACAATAGAGATCCACAAAGTTAAGGTCATCTTTTTTGGCTAAAATGTACCAGATCTAAGCTGTGGCATTTTCTCTTGCATCAGAATAAAAGTGAAAAGACCTTGTCCATTCATGTCTGCCTCCCCCTGACCTCTGAGTGGGTATTCAAATTAGTGCTGTCATGCGATTAAAAAAATTGAGAGATTAATTAATTATGATCTGTAATTAATTAATCTAATTAATCTCATTTTAATCTCACCTAAAAATTGCTGAGAAAAGCCTTCAATTTGAGGTATTTTCATTTAAATTCATTATTACATTATTGTGGCAGATCAAAAGACTGATATAGATTTTAAAAAGTGACTTTATAAAGTAATTTATTGTTTAACAAATCTCTCCAAATTGGCTGTTAAGCCCAAGTCTCCATGAATAAGAAACTGTTTGCTGTAAAGTAGCAAAGACTAGGAAATCTGAACATAATAACTTTTGTCTACTTAAAGACAATAAAAAGTCCAGTCTTTCCTTAACCATATTAAAAATATTATTGATAGAGAAATACTTTATATATGAGATCACTGGTTTTAGTCCTTGTTTCAGTCCTGGTTTAGACCTGCTTTAGTCCTAGTTTAGTCCTGGAATGGATTAATCCTGTTTTAGTCCTGGTGTTAGTCCTGTTTAGACCTGGTTTAGACCTGGTTTTAGTTCTGGTTTTAGTTCTGGTTTAGTCCTGGTTTAGTCCTGGTTTAGACCTGGTTTTAGACCTGGTTTAGACCTGGTTTTAGTTCTGGTTTTAGTTCTGGTTTAGTCCTGGTTTAGTCCTGGACTGGTTTAGTCCTGGTTTAGTCCTGGTTTAGTCCTGGACTGGATTAGTCCTGGTTTTAGTCTTGGTGTTAGTTCTGGTTTAGAGGCGCACAGGAGGAAGCGCGGTTTACGCAGCGTACGCGAGAAAACACGGTCCACATGCGGCTCACGGGAGCACGTCGGTGTCCGCGCAGTAACTACGGAAGGAAACGTGGTCCGCGCGTTCTCAGGTTAATGACGATGATGAAGGTGTGTGTTTGTTTGTGTTGTTTGTGTTTGTGTGTGTTTGTGTGCGTGTCCCCTCATGTGGCAGGTCACTATAGGACAGTAGTGCAGACATCATGAGTCTATGCAGGTTGTTTTCACCTGTGACATTTAAGTTGTAGGCGATTTTATATTTGTTATTTTCTTTTATATTTCACGTCGGGAGAATAATTTCCAAGACACGAATGTGTTTTTACCTGTGCACTGCTGCCTCTGTTCTACTGGCTCTTCGACCTCGTCCATTGTGCGACTGATGCCGCCAGCGTTAACATAATGTTTACATCGCTCTTACTGCGCGCGTTTTGTGTGGGTTTCCGGCAATGAGTGGAATTACCGAAATAAAAAAAATTATAAATGTGGTTTTTTTTTGTGTGTGTGTGTGTGTGTTGTTGTCCCAACAACACATAAAAACAGGTTTTATAATAAAGCAACTCGCATACAGAAACAGTAAAATTAGAGATTAAAAATGAGATTAACGCGATTAAAAAACATAACGCGCTAAATATGACTGTAATTAATTAATCGCAATTAACGCGATAATTTGACACCCCTAATTCAAATATCTTCTTCACTCTTAACATCAGAACTGACAAAAAAAAATCTATTACGACAAGGGAAAACGATGTGCACTTTTGAATGTGAAAAAAATGAAACTATAACTTAACCATGTGCTTGTCATCTGCTTGTTTCTATGGATATGTCATTGCTCTGCCTGGAATATTCCACGGTATGACATTAAACAACTCTACCTTACATTTATTCAGTTACAAGTGGTTTCATAACGCAAAAATACCTAGAAAAACAGGCATTGGCACCATTATCTAAACCTCTGTAAAAAAAAAAAAAAAAAAAAGATTCAATTTACTTGAACAATTGAAATTAAGTTTTAAAATGGTGTTTAACTGTCTAACTGCTCAGTGTGGATATTATGCATGTCACATCTGTGTTCAGATGAAGATGAAGAGGAAGCCAAATCCCTTCTGAATTTTGGTATGATCTTTAAATCCAGTCCTGTGACAGTCCAGTGCACTAATGCTGACTTGGGATGTTATGAACACGCTCTGTGCACACACTTATTGTCACTTCAGAGCAGCTCATAGAGCCCGAACCTCACTGAGGTAGTCTCCTGTGAAGTCCTGTGTGACCCACACCCTGTGGAGAGCACTCATTCTGCTCCTGTCAAGGCGGAGATCTCAAGACTTGAGGAGATCCCAGGACTTGAGGAGATCCCAGGACTTGAGGAGATCCCAAGACTTGAGGAGATCCCAGGACTTGAGGAGATCCCGGGACTTGAGGAGATCCCAGGACTTTAGGAGATCCAAGGACTCGAGACTCTTCAAGGACTTGAGGCCCTCCCAAAACTTAAAAAAACTGAGAGAAGACCTCAAGAAAAAATATTGAAAGATATCTCAAAATTCTATTTAAACTGGGCCAATGGGAGCCCAGCAGCGGCATGTAGTCAGAGCAATCAAGGCAAGCACTGGTTGCCCAATAAAATCTAAAGTCGTCATGTGTCACAAGTATAATGAAAGTATATAAAATAGTTTCAAATTATCGCCAAATAATCCAGTTTTCCCTTCACTTCTGTTCACTCTTCAAATATATCCAATATATACAAATATTAATAAACTATGTAGGTTTAGGTCTCTCTCATTTGACTCGGTATATATGCATTTAATATGTCAGTAAAATAAATACACTCATTTGCAAAGTAGTATACTTGAAAAGTGGCGTTATTAAATTGTTATCGACTAAACATTAATGTCCACCCCAAGTCTGCTTGCCTACCCATAAAGTCACCGCACGCTATGGCATTACAGGCAAAGCATTGACATCTCCATAGAGAAAATTATTTGACGGACCCTCCACCAGAAAAGTTACACAATGCACCTTTAAGATAATATTTTCCAAATTTACGTGCCTGGCAAATATGAAATGATATGACAGTGCAATCTCGTATGTTTTTCACTGATCGGCCATCTGTCATTTAACAAAAACGTGATGTTTTCCTGCGTAAACAACAATATTTGTTTTGATACGGGCGGAGCATGCGTCATCTTTGTAATGTACTGGAGAGTGTATATGTATCCCAGGGACCCACATCTCAATATTATTTTAATCTGAACAAGCAACAAAACAAGTGCTTCTTCAGCCACTACCTCATAATCCCTTTGCGTTGTTCCATTAAAATAAACCTCAGATTCAGCGATTTGTCCTAATGAGCCTTGTCCTGACAAAAGACTGGATTTACTCAGAGAGGTTCCCCGCTGAGAGAAGAAGTTTAACAACCTTGGCTACAGCATCACTTTCCTGCTGCATAATTAAGACTATATCTGCACATTTTGATTCAGGGCGTAGTTTTTAATTCATCTTCTCAATTACAGTTGCTCAATATTAAAGTGGATTTTTTTATAACAATTTTAAACTTGGTCAGGAGTAGAAGAGCTTGGCACATTTTAAACCTCTGTCTGAATGAAAGGAACATGAAGTCAATTTATTCTCTAGTCTAGTCGAAATAAACAACTCTCTGTGCCCCTTTGAGTAGAAATTGTTACTTCTGTCAATTTTATAGCAAAAAAGGGTAGATGACTGAATGGTAGGAAGGACTTTTTTTATGATTGTTTATGGGTTGCCTTGTCATGAC